AACAATAAAGTGACGTAGTTTTTCGCTGACGCTATTAGTTTTAATCGTGCTTTATTAACAATTAGTTCAAGCGATTTATCTTTTGTCTTCACAATTGAGTGTATAAAAAACTGAACATTTACTGAGAATTGGCACTTTAGAAAAGAATATTAGTTTTTTTCAGACAATCTATGTTCTGCATATTACTTTACTCTCACTACCTCTAGCTAACTTCATTCTTTTTATTCACCTGCAAAATAAGGATTATCACAAGTTATATATAACGTAGTAACTGTACTAACTCAATGGGCTAAAAATATGCCAACAGTATTCAGAAAACTGGTTAAAAGCAGTCTCACGAATTTTCGGAAAACATGGATCTATTACCATGGCATAAGATTCATTTTCCCTCAAGAAAAGGAAATGATACCAGACTTAGCTTGGGAAATCAGCTTTCAATAAAATATGAAATCTCACCAGTATATTGCGATTGAATTAATATAACTTTAGAATACACTATTTTTACCTTTGGTGTAAATTATTTTTACAGGATTTCCGGGGATGGGTTAAATCTTTTTTGTGATGGCAGAGCATTGAGTGAAATATGACATATAATTATAATATTATAAAAAGACTGACTATATACGACATGCTGCTAATTTAGTCAAAAGACATAAGATTATGAGTGAACTAGCACCTAAACACATTAATTCTAATGTATTTGAATAGCTGAACAAAATGCTGGGTAATTTTAGTCTTATGAAAGCACGATTCACCCTGTTAAAGTAAATAAAATATTTGCGTGGATGCTTGACTGCATGTCTTCAGCGTAACAAGTCACCTTGAACAGAGAAAGTTAGAGCCCGTTGTCGAGTGAAGAATGTTCCTGGCTAATAATTTCGGGGAATTGTTTTCCACTCCAAAACTGAAATAGGTGTCTGACACAAGCGTTTTCCTCCATCAGACATGCTTTTAAGTAGCTCAGCTCACGGAAATACAAAACGGTTTTTGGTGTAAATACAGGAAAGAGGTGTGTGCAACGGTGGTAAGCCATTCCATTTTCTCTGATTCGACTCCATTTTGAATTTCGCAAACAGGCCACACCAGTTACATATGAGTGAGAAGTATACAGTAAGCGTATCACATTGAATAAACAAAATAAGACAAACAGAAGGGAAGGGAACTGATGATCCCTGTTGGGGCTTATTTTTCTGGTGACCATACACTCCCGTGACTCCAAATGTGGTGTTGCATTCGCCATCAACTAAGCTGCAACCACCTTATTTACTTTCACTGAAAATTAACAAGCTGTGAGGACTGACTTGATACATGAATGCTAAAATATGATACCTGTAATGGCAATGTTTATTTCCACGTTCCTGTAGTTCAGGTAGATCGGTTCCTATGAGGAATTAAAGATTCATCTTATTGATAGCTGTTAGACATGCATAAGGTTCCCACTCTCAGTGTAGATGACTTGCAATCATTGGTTAGGTTTACAGTGGAGACAAACAAATAATGCTGAAAAGGAATGTGAATGAGTGAGGTATGTTAATTTTATTTTACAAATTATATTGATGTGGTATGAGAAAAACAGATTTTATTCTAGCATTTAGTATCCCATTTGAGATTTATGATTCAGAAAAAGAAATCAGTTATTGGTCTCAAAAAGCTTTAATTCCAAAATTCTAAAAGAGAAATGGTTCAGTTACACGACTGTCCTTCAAGGTATTCCCGCAAATAAAAGGTTGAAATACATTATCATTATAACATCAGAGTGTCTAGATTTTAGGAAGGCTGACAGAATACATTTAAAAACTTAGTTCTAAACATCTTGATACTGTTCATTATACAGTGACTAAGGATAGATATTCAGGATGCGTCTGAAGCAACCAGACACCTGGACAGAACTACTTGTATGCTGACACAACAAAGACCGGTCTTGTTCCACCTATCAGAACCCACTATTTCTACCCTCTGTACACAACACCGAAATATGTTCACTAACTATTTACCGGTGACCAGTCTCAGTGTTAAACAAGAATCAATTTCTCCACGGATAACTGAGATCTGATCTACTGGATATAATTTAACTCTAAAGGCAGTAACTAGTGGCAAACAGTTGTTGAACACTGACCATTTAATTCGTAAACTCCCCAATAAATAATGCAATATTCTTGTTCATCAACTGACTAAAGTCGTTTGATACTCTGAGGTCACTCGGTAAATGTATTATCTACCTTTTTTACTCAGGTGCACTAGACACTTAAGCACAAGTAGATGAACAACATCTGATGTAAGTTAAAGAACAACAGGTGCAATCAGTTAAACAAAATAAAATTGCTAACATATGGGATTTTTTTTAAATCGTCAGTTTCAAACTGTTTATTTTTTTTATTTATAATGAATACATATCACTGATTCACTGACGTAAAGAATTAACAGAAGTCATCAAATTAAAAATCATATGATCTTTTATCTTTTTTCTTTACAACCTTTTATCAGAAGGTCTATTGGAAACCAGCTATCTGACTGAAATGCACAGATTTTTTAAAAGGTAATAAACTTTATCCAGGAAACAAATTCGCTAGTGAACTAAATCTATAGAATATTTTTTTAGTTGCTACATCTTATAAGCAAGACTACTTTTCAATTTACTATGTTGTTCAACATAAAGTAGCTCCACAGTCCACTAACCCAAGTAATAAATCTTCGAAATAGAAATCGCACACACTGTTTTAATCTAACTAATATACTGAATGAATCCTGCCAACATAGATCACGAAATAACGTCAGTTAGAGTACCAGTGAAAACTAATGAGAACTGATCAGCTGTTTCGTCCTAGTTCTGGACTCATCACAGTACACACAGATGTCCAGCACTACTTAACTTCAAAGTTCTTTTATCGGATTTCGGCTCATGAGCTATTCTGAAATAAATCAATTAAATGCAAACCAGAACTTGAAAATGAATGCTATCAATCTTTTTGAGTTGTCCCCAGGCAAAATTACTGTTATAACCAAATTAAGTTTCATTAAGTAATGTTAGGCTGGTAAAATGTTGAAATCATTATTTAATTTTCACTCTGTTCAGTTGCAGAAAGACGTCTGAAAATTAACTGAGTCTTTCATATGATGCTTTCAAGAAAACAGTCTAGAAAATAATACAGGTTCTAAATTACTGATGAATGTTTAGGTCTGTAAAGTATGAAGAAAGCTAGTTTACTCTAAGTGCTTGCAAGTGAAAATTCTGACCTCTGCACACTAATTTATAACACAGCTTAATTTTAGCATAAATGCTTATTCTAGACATCAATAGGATTAAGAAGGTGAAAAGTTTTCGTTAGGTTCTTGTTAAGATGAGTAAATAAGTCAGAGAAACGTTTAATTCCAATCGCATGATTTGCCTAGAAAACGTGTTTTGTGCATCTTCTTACTACCTACCTTAATGAACTGTTGTAGTGGTGTGATACAGACATATGTTCCAACTGAGTATCATTCTCACATATTCCCACAGTTCAATACTGCATTAGCGACAGAATACTATCTAAGTTTGGACATTCTGTTTCATGTCATTTAATGTGAACCAAAGTCACATGCTCAGTGATCGGTTGAAGAATAAAAACTATACATATATATATATATAAGTAGCGGTTTGATCAATAAAAAATATCCCTTTGCTTCCGTGTCTTGCCTTCTGCTGTTACACTATTTTAGTTAACGAGATAAAGTTGTTATTTAGACAGAATATGATTGTATGAGTTTGTCATGGAAGTGGTCTAGATCTGTGTGTGTTTTGTATTTAGGTATATACATCAGTCGTCATCTCGCACAAGATTTTGGTTACTTTTCACCGCCGCTTTTTTCTTCCATTACTCATCACTTCATGGGTCAAGTTTAAAAAAAGGAAAATAGCTGAAGGTTGTATTGGTCTGCAAGGCTGTTTAAGACAAAAGTTATTTGCTTAAGCGTACTATCAGTGAATCCTTTGAAAAGAATTGTGAGTCATTTACGAGTATGCCCATAAAAATAGTCACAAGAAACGCTGAATATATACAGAATGAATTATAAAAGACTTATATGTAGAATTCTGGTCACAGTAGAACAGAGTATAACTGAGGAGACTGTTATACTTTAAGTGGCCTTATTTTTCGTATGCAGTAATCATATGGATTGGATTTTGGTGCATAAGTTTTATTATTTTTAAAGTCTGACATCTTGTCTTAAACTTGTAACTTTTAGTAGCCTTTTTAGGTCACACCGTTTCTGTTAAAATTCCATTTCATTTTGATTAATGTACCTATGGAATTTTACGTCAAACTGCGAAACTACTAATGAAATGCTTTACAGGAGTTCAGTTTAATTTTAAGGTATTTCGCATTTACGAAAAAAATTTAAACAGTTTATTGTATTTCTTAGACTCATTAGTAATAAATTTTTCTCTAAGGTTGCCTATGTTCCACAAAAGTATTCCTTAGTCTATTATGGCGGTTAGTGGAATTTTTTTTAGGAAGTAAATTTAAGTGGTGCATGAACTAATTATTAAATTAGTTAACATCTGCACGCACTATGCACCAAGTTGGTAGCTAGAAATTCTATCTTAGCAACTTTAAAGACAGCTACAAATATTAGTGTACAGTTCCTATACCTCTTACAACTGGACATCGTAAAATTCTTACTTATTTTTACCCCCTGCCTGTTCATGTCTTATTTCCAGTTTGTTTTCATTCTGGATTTTATAATCGATTTTCTCTTTTACGCTGATTTTCGCAATGCAACAAACATTGACAAATACATAATCATTCTTCTCCCTGTGATTTTTTAGTACATTACATTTACAGCAATATTTATTTATTCAGCTTTGAAAGAATCGAAATACAATAGTGCCTGGATTGCTGCTTTCTTATCACTGAATTATGCTTGTAGAATTATTTATAAATGTTTATTATTTATTATTTACTACTACTACTAATACTTGCACAATTAATTCACTGTTTCTTTTTCTTTCTTTATCTTTACAGGCCAATTATGCCCAGTAATACAGAACATTCTAAATGGGTCTCAATTACACCGCATAATTTAACAGATAAGCAAGCCAATATTACACTTGACACAAATCACCAAAGTGCATTTCAGCTGAGGGCTGTTAATAAGGTTGGAATGAGTGAACCAGCTTATTTAGTAATAAGACCACCATATCAAAAAGTTCCAGATAAGTTAAATGCATTCTCAGTTTTTGTTGACACATAATGAGCTAATTTCCCATGGAAAGGTTTAGGTATAAATATTTTGTTGTTTAAAAAGTGACATTTTACACAAATTTTTCCTATATACTGCATATTTCAGTAAGTTGAAAGACATCTGAATCTGAAGACACTCTGCATCTTTTGTAAGATGCTCCTCTGAATCAATGATCGAAAGGGAAACTGGTAAAAAGCGAAGTGCACAGAACACTGTCATTCAGCTAACTGCCCACGTTGACTAGTTTTTGAAATAAATCTGTTGTATATCTGTCATAAACAACTAACCGTGACCAACTTGGAAGCTATACAATATACCTTTGAGGCGTTAAATGCGTTATTTACCGAATAATATCTTATTATGTTTTTGATCCTCCAAGAAATTGGAGGCCTGCTTTTAATAGTCCACAAGGATCAGTTTGCTGCTCAACTAATCGTATATCGAGAATAAACTTTCCTCCTAAATATTTATGGTTTTTCTGAAGGATAACTACAGTTTTTAAACAGTACGTCTTCACTGTACGCAAGATCGCAAGATACTTTTACAGATACAAACTGAATCATTACGATAGGTGGGAAAGTTTATTGTGCAGAGAAAAACAATTGCTTGCTAAGGAACAATAAATAACAGACATAACGGCGCTTTTGCGTAAATAAGGAAAGCATGTTTTACAGAGTTTAAACATGATAAAAGCGCAGACCGACTCTGACATTCCTTTTTCTTTCACAGATTTACAGAACACCTGTTATTTACTAATGAATAAAACAGATAAACTTTCAGAATGAATATTACGTGAGTGCACATGATCTGAATAGAATCAAACTACCTCCAGATGGTTGAGGAAGCCTGTTGCTTGGAGGAGGTGGTATTCAGCCAACTATTATGTTGAAGTAACTCTGGTTACGAGTTAAGTCTCTGAAAATACAATCTGCTTGTCAGTATTGAAATGAGTCCTCTGTTCAAACTACCAGTTTGCCATTCATTCAACTTCTAAGACAAATCATCAAAAGGTGAAGTAAAGTGACCAACTCGATTTACCCAGCAGTGATAGCATAGAGATTTTTATGATACTTTCAAGATGCTGAACCTTGATTCATTTTTGAAAATGGCTATTAGTTTCGGAAAATGATTTCAATTTCGATTTAATATTACCCCTATTTTGAGTAGATCCACTAATGACATATTCACAATGGTATCTTTATGTTACCATCATTGTCTATTGAAGATGGCTAGCACGAATAACAACCACGTCGTTTAACCAGTGAATAAAAGTGTATTTAGGCTCTGAAATCAACTGAAATTCTTTTCCCCACAACATGAATAACTGAAGTCTACCCAAACAAGTACTCTGGAAGAGCAACAATATACATTTAAATCGTCTCTTCTTACTTCTAGGCTATTTTCCAGAATTTTATTTGATTTCACTTGTTACTATTTGATCAGATAAAATTCCGGCGATTGGTTGAAACCACACTTGTGGCTGTGTGGTAGAATACCTTTTAGATAATACCTTATCCCTTCATCACATAAATGTCAAATAAGATCACCTAGTACATTTCCACAACTCTAGAGAGGACCTGTAGAAAGTAAACACCACTTTGAACGAAATAACAAAAGACGCCCAATTCATTTAAAGTAAGAATAAAACCAACATTATATAGGGTTAAGCAAATCTAAAGGTATGATGAATGACAATGGGTTGTTAACGGATGGAAGAGTCCAGCTGATCATTGATGGATGATACACATGCTGAGGAGGATCACTCAAAATTGTGAGCATCATTGTCAGTATTATCTCATCGAACGAAGACACTTGAAGTTTATTTTCATGTCTTATAAAGACACTAAGTGATGCACAAAAATTATTGTTGTTATTCGCGCCTGTAAATAGAATTGCTATGTACCGTTCTTCAGGTTTGTTGGGATAAATGAGACGCAATCTTTGAAATCACCGACTATGGACCACCTGAATACCTGAATGAAAGTAGAACTTTGAATATGTTACCCAGTGGTAGCGATTCTAGCACTTCATCCACTATGCTACATCTTCAAATGAATTAAAACTGTGCACCGTCATTCATTTTCCTGCACAGTCCTCTGTGCTATTTTCACATCTGTTATGTGTTCAAGTCATGAAGTTCAGAGGCTTTTTGTTTTATTACAAACTGTAAACTCAGAAAGACGCATTGAATTCTGACCATGACTTTACAAATATATAGCACAGAAAGTATGTAATTATTCATTTGTAGAAATGACTACTGCTAAAATCTAAAGCGAGGGATGATAGGGACTGAGAAACTGCCGACGTGTTTGTAGTAGACTTGTAATCAGTCCATGATAGAAAGGTAGTAAATCAGAACATTATTAATAATAATATAGAACTGGAATAATATAAATCTCCAAGTAATGGAAAATTCTCTCAAAGGATAATAAGTAAAGCTTCCCGAATTAGGCATGAAATTTCGGTTTTTTATATATGACAAGATAAAGAACTTAAGTTTTAGTGATCAGTATTTATTGAAGTCATTCTAATTTGTGCAGCAGCTCAATTATCCTTAAAATTACCTTCCCCTGAATTTCTTATATACATTTGCAGTTTACAAATGTTTGCACAGATTTTATGACACACAAGCGTGTGCAACTTCACCAGAAATTAAATCGGTTTTTAAGTAGGAATATTGATGAAAAATTGACACAACGTAGCTGGCTTCCGCAAGTTTGTTCTGAACAGTATTATGTAGGTCCCCACATTTCAGTTGACATTTTTAACTTATTAGCTAAGTGATTCAACCAACTAAATAAGCATAATGATACTGAAATATGACTTGTGTGATAAACACTACATAAAGGAGGAACTCAAGTCAGTCTGCCGTATGCATGTGATTATGTTGTAGGACAGTGACGAAACTGTGTTTATTATTGTCAAACAAATCGGAAATTTTTAGATTTTTACGCTAAATTCATCTTTTGTTTTTTCCTTATAATCAGGGGTTATTCGTCACTGTTTCAGCCTTTAAATCAAGTAACCAGCTTGCTGACTTACAGTTTGCTTTCAGTTGCCCTACTACTTTTGCTTCTATTCCTAATTGTACTACTAATTTACAGACGTAAGTAATAACCCATTTTTAATCCACAAGGTGCATTCACATTTTGTCAGTAATAAAATCAATACTTTTTATTTAGCAGAATATTTTAATCCACTTTGAAGTCGATAGGTATCTTTGAGATCACATATGTAGTTAACTTATTGAGACAGAGTTAATTATTTGCAGTGTGACAGAGATAATCATGCTTTACACTGAAACTTAAAAACCGGATTATGCCCTTAGATATAGAAACAATTGGTTTTGAGAGGAAACTCCCTTCAGAAAATCACATTGTTATTCATTCACTTGTCACGACACAATCCACTATATTGATCACTCTAAGGATATTGTGTATATATTCCAAAATTTATTGTAATAAAGAAAAAAACTAGAACGCTGGCGAGTTGTTTCACTTGAAAATTTGTGTACAGTTGATTGCCTTTCGACAGTTATTTGTATTTGACTATTAGCTGTTCGATGAACTTTTTTGATCTTTACTTATTAGGTTAACATGTTACCCATTTTTGCTTAAGGCTGAATTATTAATTAGTCATCTGTATGTTACATTTACTCTCATGTGCTTGCTGATAGGTACACTTCAAAATATTTCTTTCACAATTTTTGGAGCTGAGTGCAGGATCATTTTCTATCCTTGCAAACAGAAACTCTTTAATCTACAATGGTTTCAGTGATTATATATTGTGTTGCTTGGTTGCTAGATAATGTTCACAAACTCTTTTCGTTCTCTGATGACCAGAATGACCTTAATTATAGTTACTTACAATCTTTGGAGTTAGTTTTCAAGAAAATTTTTATATTTTATTAAGTTATCAGTCAATCCTTCAGTCATCCGAAAATATGAATTAGTATCTGGATATAGTCATGGGCTGCAATGATATTCTACGCATGAAGTTACCACCTACCGGTTTCCAAAACACTTATGGAATATGCTGACTTTGTTCTTTTCGCTGTTTGCTGCTCTGTTATTGCGAAAGTCTCACACTATCAGTGTCGCTGAGCAGTGACCACCGTAATCTGTAATTCACTGTATAATCCCCAGGTTGTAAAATAAATATTCTGCTTAAAATAAGGCTACGTCAACCTGAATATCCTAACTCCGATAATCAATTCAATAACTTTCAAAAATAAACATCCATTTGCTTATGAATCATAATATTAATATAACTGGGCAGTGACGGATGAGGGCTACACCGGTCTTTTTCCAGGAAAATGTAACCAAATCATTTAGACTGAATGCCTGAAGGATTATTCCATGAGGTTAAACCTTAAGAAGTATGCAAAATTCAGCTTTTCAAACAACTGAAATAAAATGAAGAACTATTACTAAACTGATCACAGTTTAGTTATAAAAGAAAAGAGTCGGAGGAATTCTATAAATTTAATCCCAGGCTTATCGTCATTTCAAAATACATTTTCCCTGTGCTATTAAAATTTGGATAATTTTTTCTCCGCAATATTAGGAAAAGACCTGTGATATGCACAGTTTGATACAGTTAAATCCATGTGTAATATGCATCGACAAATGAATTCAGGATAAAATTCATTCGATTCAAACATGTTTTCATTAAATCGAAACTGTTTAGTATATGTCAAATGCCCTCTTCAATAAATAACACTTCAGAATATTGAGCAAGGGACGTTTTTGTTTTATCGAGAGTTAAACTGAAATATGATGGTGGATGAATACTTTCCAGGTCCCATATTATCTGGCATTAGATTTATGAACAAAGCAAAACAAAACCTTTTTCCCTTCCAATAAGATAAATTGATAGTTAATCAATACAGCTAACTGATGAAAATGAGTTAGTTTATTTAAGCTCATTTGTCATAGTATACTTTCCATGCAAGGGGATTTTAGATGTAAATAACACTTTAGAATTTCATGAATCTTGACTCAAAAATCATGGCAACCTTATCAGTTATAATGTCTACTTGATAAATATCAAATGGACTAAATCTAATTTTTTGTAGAATGTGTATATTTTCCATGATATGAACATTCATTCCTTGCTTTCTAAATAGGTTTCAATAGCATATCTCCGTTGTAATCTATTTTCTGCCATCACTGTTAACTGCCTGCACCATTACTCACAAGCTTTCATTTCCTGTTTATGTGATCCTTTTCACCTTCACGAGCACAACTATTCGCTTTCTATTCATGTTCCACTGTGTGGTCTGGCCTATTTTGTCTGTACGACGTTGTTGTTTGGGTAGTTGAATGGCTCGCTGCCTGACAGAGTCCTTCGTTATTTGTTCCTTGTCTCACTTTTCGGTTGGAGACAGCTGTACATACTGACAGTCATATCAGTAGGTGTACGTTTTTACTGGTTATACAACCTACAATAGTTCCAATCGAAAGTTAATCAACAGCTAAATAATAATGAGTTTGATTCTGCAAGCAAGAAAGTCTGTGGCGGAGATTTTCATTAAGCCTTCTAAATCTACCAATGTGCATTCACATGAGATATTTTGCTTTGTTTTTAGGTCGGCACAAAGATGGGAAGTCTAACAAACACTCATTTTTCATTAGTTTCAATCCAGCCAGACGTCTACATTCAAGCAGTGGAAATGGTTCATCCATACTTGGGCTTGGCAGTGATCTGACAACAAGTGGATTACCACTTGATTTAGCTACACTAGAGCCATTATGGAATCAAGAAGTTAATTCACTCTATGGAATTAGTAAACCTGACCTTAATAACTTTGAGCAAGTTCCACAAATACCTGCTGCAAATATACGTTTTCTACGTTATATTGGATGTGGAGCATTTGGTAAAGTATGGGAAGGCTGGCTGCATGTGCGTGATGCAGATGGAGAACGGTTTGAAAAAGTTGCATTAAAAGTATGTTTCATATTTTAGAATCGTGTAATAGTCATACTTTCAGTTTTTGACCATCGAAATAGAATAAACGTATTTCAGAAACTATTTTTTCAAGTAATAAAGTCAATCCAACTAGCTAATTTGTTTACTGACTTATGACCATTATTGGTTGGAAATTGGACACCGAATCGCTTCTATCCACTCATAAACTTGTATTACCAAAGCAAAAATACTGTAAAAAACATAAATGTTAAAGGGAATTTATGAATAAATCATCTATCTCAGCTCTGTAATGGCGAAATATTCTAAAATAGCAAAATCAATGTCTTTCGAAGATTTAGAAAACGCGGGCATTTGCGTTCATGTAGTTTTCACATTATGATGAATATGCTTGAGAATTAATGGATTACCTTAAACTGATATGAAAATTAAAAAATCTCGCGAAATGGCTGATTCACTGAGAAACAAAATAGTATACTTAATGGGACTTTTGAATTTCACGGTGTTTAATCCTAATGCACAGAAATGCTAGGCACAGTCAAGGTATCTATCTTTTTCATTTAATGAACTACGCCTGAACATATATATGTATATATATATCATCGAAGACTTAGAGCACAAAAGTTACCTTTCAAGTATCATGTATTTATTGTTATTATTATTATTTATGTACTGTTTGTTGCCGTAACAAGACATTAGTGGTATCATTGTTATACTTTCACAATGGATAGAGCTATTCCTGTTGCTTGTTACCAGGACAACATATTTTAACTGTGCAGATACATCCCAATCACATATTTTTAAATACCCTAGGCTGTTGTTTTTTACAGTTATTTCCTCTTGCTACAAATAGTACATCAATTCGTAACTCCATCGGCTGTTTATACTTTTAACACTGTTGTTTTTACCCATCAGTTGTGTCTACTTGCACATTCAAGCGCAGTTTTTAATATATGTCCTCTTTTCATTCTTCAACCAACAAGCACACACAGACACACGCTTATACAGTAACATTTGCCCAATAACAAAAGGGAAATTACTGTAGAATTTTCTCTAGATGGTTATTTGACTGTCTAAAATGTTTATACAGTGGAATGTGACTTTATTGATTTTCATTTAGCTTAACTGAAGAAAGAAACACAGAAATGTGTGTGAAAAAAGAATAGTGAAAATAACTAGAGTCAAACTAATCATTGTTTTCATTTGGTCTGGAAAAACTTACGAGTTTATGTTGTTGATAATAGGAAACAACATTTTGGCAACACAGTAGGTTTTGGCAGTGTTTATAAGAATTTGTACAGTAGTCATCTGTTGAATGCTTTCATGACTAGGAATATATTGTTACTATTAGTTCTGAAACATTCTATACAACCCCTGCAGACTTTTGTTTCACTTTACGTAAGGATTCCCACAGTTAGCTAGAGAAAATTGTAACCATACATATCCAATATCGTTTTTACGAGCTAGTATAAACCAATTTGATTTCTTTGTGCTCGCCTCTTGATTGTGAGATAGAGGTTCCTGATCTTCGGTAAACGTCTGCGTATCTCGTCCCGCCACTCGACCGTCGTAGCTTTGGTTGACTCCACTGTTGAGTAATTCCTTATGTATAAACATTTAATTTCTGTAAATGAATGTAAAATATACTTCACATTTCTGCCATCAGATGCGATTCTCACATAGAAATGAGGAATGCTACCTAAGGCCAGCTTAAATTGACAGAGACCGACAATACTCCAGATTTCAAATTTTGGACGATAATTTACAATTCAGATGAAAAGTATGCGAACGACCTGACTTAAAAAGGGAAACCTGATTTCAGATTATAGATTATGCATCAAAACTTCATTTGGTAAAATAACTACTAAAGTCGATTGGAACCCTATGTTCAGTTTCCACTAATATAAACTGTAAAATTTTCCAGTCTTCTTAGTTTACTTCTTAACCGTTAGTCTATAATTGACACACTTTGATCTTGAGGTTGAAACGTACTAAAGTGAAAGAGAACAACCACGTCCTTTTCCAAAGCTTGTCTTTATATTTTATATTTCAAGACAGTAAGTTGCAAGAACAACACGTTTTCCGAGTACACTGTTGCTGACCAGGATAGTATTTTCTATCATCGATTTCAATAATCGTCCTAGACCTGCATTCCACTGTGATCAGCAAGAAATTTCAGAAGTCCTTTCTTACCTTCCGTAAATACCGTAGAACACTCTCCTTTCTCTTCTGTGACATTGAGCAACACAAATTTAGAAAACATCTACACAGAAATCTTAATAACAGAGTCGAATATCTTCTTATCACAGAAATTGTTTTTAGTCAAAAAACAATCTGACAATTGTTTTCCGTCAAATACTTGCTTAGCCTTATTGCTGCTTTTTGGTAGGAGAAACATTACACTTTATTGTCAGTCTTTATTAATCTCTTGTGGTTTCTGTATTGCTGGGATTTTATTTAAACAATTATACATGCATTACAAGTACACCTAATGGACAAAGCGAATCCATTGTTTCAACCTAAATACTGATACTTACAACAAACCAACAGATGTTATGACTTCATGAAGATTTAAAGTGTGATGGTTCCCCTTGTATGCACTCAGATATACCATTTGGCTTTACTTTCAATAGGTAGAGATCATAAACATACAAAATTAAAGGAGTTTAAAGTCTGGTGCATTATATTATACAGAAATTTTTGTCAAAGTATTTCTAAAACAAAGATGTGACTATGAATAATTAGAGTTTATTGCTTATAACATTGAATATGGTAAATAATAATGACTTCCATTCTGTTTTATTCTAATCAGGTACGAAACTGTAAGTCACTGACTGAAGCTGAATTCAAACGTGAAGCGACTCTGATGCACAAATACCAACACACGAATATTGTGCGATTTTTCGGCGTTTCATTCGACTCCCCTGGACAACAGTGCTTAGTCTTGGAAATGATGGATCAAGGCAACTTAAGAGATTATCTGCACCGATCACGACCAAGAATTGCTCCTGATATTGCTGCTAATGTGTTTGCAGCCGCAGCTATATGTGCAGCTGCAGGGAAAACAGGAGGATCAGATGGCTCTTCAATGAATACAAGCATGACTAGTACAGCAGCTGGAGGTGGAACACCAAGTGCTTCAAATGTGATCACTCTGACTGCACAACTTGATTTACCCGCACTGGTTGCCATAATGAGAGATATATGTCATGGGTGTCGTTATCTGGAAGAACAACACTTTGTCCACAGGTGATAATCTTGTTTTCCAGTGTTATTTTATCCTCGAATATTAGAGTTCCTTTTGAAATCACTTATCTTGAGCAATAAAGTATAACTAATACATTTACACAAAAGATGCATATGTGTAATTAAAATATGCCTTTTCAGGTAATTGATTGCTCTCCCCTCCCTAAATGAGGATACTTAATGATAATGCAAGAAAAGGGTGAAGAATGGATAAACTCTCTTGGTGAAAGTAGATAGTCCTCGAATTTAGGCGAGTTCACATTTCAAAGGACACATCAGTTCCTTCAGGGTTGCAGATACGCCCCGTGCCTACAAGCGCAAACCTGAGCCTAGGGGTTATTTTTGACTGTCACTTTCTAATATATATATATATATATATATATATATATATGAGTTCTAGATGTATTTTTCTTCACATAAGTGAAAATTATTACTGATTGTAGCAGAATTCTCTACCTAAACGCAATCCACTGGAAAACTAATTTTAAATACATGTCGGTACCATTTTTAGAGACATCGCTGCAAGAAACTGTTTAGTCAGTCACAATCACTCAAGTGGGCGTATAGTGAAGTTGTGTGATTTCGGTTTGGCACGCGATATATACAAAAATGATTACTATCGTAAACGCAACGAGCCGAAACTACCCGTGAGGTGGATGTCACCTGAAGCTATTCGCGATGGTTTATTTACAACAAAATCTGATGTCTGGTAAGCTGGTACTTGTTTTCTTTCTTCATAGTACGTTCTCCCTTTCCTGGTATTTGCTATAGTTTTGTGGATATGTTTTGATGGTCATTTGGTTTTAATAAGTGAAATTCAATTCACAGTCTGACAAAACATATACATCTTAGTCCATAAAATATGTATTTTTGGTTTCTAGTCACTGAATTCAATCTTTGTGGCTCTAGAGATAACTGTTTATCAATCTGTGAAACAATATTTTTTGCTGAGTAAACAAATATTTCCTTGAATTTACGGTGGAGATCAAATTAAAAAACAGTGACTGTATCGTTAGCATTAAGACATTTGCATGGCTAAAACTCCGGCCTTCTGACTTCGTAGCAGCTGAGGAATAGTTGAGGGTTTTATTAATGTTAATTAAATCTCATCCAACTGACTGAACTATCTGATTCTGACGGACCAAATGTTGTTCGAATTACGCTACCACGAAACTTAATCTTGATATTATAGAAATCCTGTGTTTGCAGTTCACATATCATGGTGTAACTTTTAATGACTTCGAAGTCATAATCTCATTAAAGCATAGCAATTATCTTACCAACATTCACATCAATCAGATTTACTCCAATATAGTTGGCTAGTTAACCCTCCAATGACTGCTTCATTTCGAATTCAGGAATTATTATTGTCATTAAACCAATATTTATAAGTACCTATTTACGCTTAAAGTGGTCATTAACACTAGTATTTATTTTACGAAATGAAAGTGAGCTTCTTTTCTGTTATTGTGAAGTCAAATCAATTTATCTGTGTTACAGGAAACAGGTAAGAGTTGAATCCAAAAAGGAGAGTATTCGCTTACTGCAGAACTGAATTTAATAGACTGCACCTCACATTGGTATTTTAAGTGCTGGTACTGAATTAAAGAAAGAAAATACACTTAGATTCTTTTCACGTTTAACATCTGAAAAAAATTGAACTTCTGCAGTGTTTTATTCAGTAGCATGCTTGACAGATGCCTGAAAATAGGGAATACGTGTGTATGTCAGACATTTGGGCTTATATTTGTTTTCAGCTGAAGAAATTAGATGAAATTTTGAATAAATAAAGTAAGAAGTAATGCGTCGGTGGCACAGTGGTAGAGTGCTTGCCGACCACGCAGGTAGTTTGGCGTTCAATCCCCGGCCGACACACTCCTTTACCTCTCTGAGCCAGTAATAAGACTGGTAAAGAGAGAGTCTAACAACCCTATCCCGTAAAAATAAGCACCACTGCTATCGAAACTTCAAGCCTCTAGCTTAAAGCCTTATTTTTCACTGGGAACGTAAAGGAATAAAAAAGCAAGACGTGTTTTAACTTGTAATATTTTATATGAAGAGTCTTGATCCTCTAGACAATATGAAGAGTCCCTACACCTTTATTAAAAAGGTATATAAATAATTTGGATAGGCAAATTTAGCAGACCTCTGTTCGAAAAAGAATCATTTTCCAGTATTCTGATTATTGCCTGTACTGTGAACAGTCACTTTCACATCTATGTACTTATCCAGATGTATTAATAATGACTTCAATGTGTAACAGACTAGTTTGTATCCAAGTACCTAGGTTTTTGACTGACAGTGGGATGTAAAATTCACACGAGGATCAAATTTGATTCATCTACTTGATAATAACAAGTGAATTAAACGAAATATTCCCGGAAATGTATCAGGTCTAATCGAATCTCTCTGATAAAGTTCGATTTCACACAACAAAGGCTAGAAGAAGTCGAACAAAATATTCGAGCAATGAAATTTACAAAAATCTTGTCCAGAAGTTATTTGTTGTTTGTTAGGACTACATAAATTACTTTGCTTTTAGTGATTTCGCCAGCTGCTGCTTACCTTTTTCAACCCACCAAATTTTTTGGAATAGTTACTACACATTGCTTCCTGAAATTTTCCAGACTCTGGTTTGTTATGCTTGTTGGAACATCTATGTTGTGTGGCCATATCATTTTCAATGCAATTATTCTTACACATAAAACGTTATCGGCACTGTTATTTATTGCAAAGTCTGTACTTTTGTGATCGCTGACTGATAAACAGGCAATTGTGATTGATTTATTCCTCAAATAAATGTAAAGTCTTGAACATTAGGAAGAAATCTGAGGAAAGCATAGCTTGAAACAGTATTTTTGGCTTATAGGTTCTAATTTTTAAAAAGTAAGATCAATTTACAGAATCGAATACTCGCCCAATGCATTTCTTTTTAGCACTTATAACCTATAAGTACTACAACATTCCGTGTCACATATTATAGAAAATAAACAGTGTCAATTCTTTATTGCAAAATTCCTCCATAGAAAAAAAATTAACATGAAATCAAGTGGCAACGTGTGAAGGAAGGCTTACAGTCGGAAAAACTCCTCGGTATGCTAAAATAGAATTAGATCAAGTGATTGTCTGACCTACATGATACCTGTTATTTAGTGAATTCAAATGCATGAAAATTCTCCACTTCAGCTTCTTTCTTCATCTGTCAGTAAAGTAATATTCAGTGACTTAACTGCGTGATATAGTCAGTAGATATTGATATTAACTGAAGACAAGATTTGTGATCCTGACTCCTATCCACTGGTTAGTTATAAAGTTATCTTTCATTTTACAACACGTACTCAGTCTACTTAGCATTATGGTGTTCCTTACGAGAGGTGTAACTACGGTTTCGCCAGCTGGGACGTTTGTTAATACAAATGAAAGAAATGGGAAGTTATAACTTACAGTTAAGGGTGACAACTAGTATTGTATCTGTCATTGAATTATCTGATCAGTTCATTAACAATTAACCTTGATTATTGAATACAATTCAAACGAGTAGCAGTATATATTCACTCTAAACCAAATAATAGGATAGATACTTGAAAATTAGACAGAAATAAAAGAATTCCTTTCTGTTACAAATTCTTGTTATGTAGTACTGCAATACAAATTATAAAAATACCAGTTAAAGGTCACATAGCAGAAAAATCATCTACAAATTTCTTCTTCTTATGTCTTTCAGTTGGTTTTCAGTGCACCACTGATAACAGGCATTGGGTGTGAGTAGATACATATGAGGAAGATAAATGTATGCGCAAAAAACAGGCGTCAGTTAACGTCCTCATCAAATGCCTTTTTAACAAGTGCATAACCACTTTATTTCAGAGATGTTTTCTATTCTATCTTGGGCATAATTTTTTTCCGGCTTTTTCACTACATGTTTTTCTAAAAGTAATCTGAAGGTATGCATTTCTATAAATATATATGTATGTTTGCATATATGTATGTGCGTGTGTGTTTATTTATATGAATGTATGCGTCTTCTTAACTCAAAATTGTCAGAAATAAAATGTGTTACATGGTTTAGGCAAAGATTGACAAAATACTTACAACAATTAGAAGAGTGATGGAGAACATTTTTCCTGCTAGATACTGAACATAAATGACTGTTTCGGTTTACCACTTCCTTGAATACCGCTTACCTTACCTTTTAAAAACTCAAAAACAAGTCCATTTAGATGAAACAAATAGAAATAACAGAAGGCATACTTTAGTACGTATACATGCATGTATATACATATATAAAATCCTGATGTCTATAAATGATGTATAAACATGGAGATTCATAGACTGAGAGACTGTTCTTGTGTGTGCATACATGTAAGCGTATATGTCAACGCATAGAAAAAATTTCTGCTGTACGCCTAATCGCCTTGATTAATCTTTCCCTAAACAGGTGAACGGATAGGTGGATAGATTATAAGGTTATATTTAACTACTAATTTATCATTATTCTCTTCAATTCCATTTGCATACCTCTCTTCACCTTAAATGTCAGCGTTCCCTTTGTTTATTTTTTTAAGCCCAAAGTTTACATTATGCATACGCTTACATATATCCGTTTATCATTAACAACCACATTGCCCACTGACTCCGTAATTATGAATAACAATCTCCTTAATGGGCTGAATTATTACTGCGTAAAACATATGACGTGCATTATGTGAATTGATGAGTACTGAGAAATCTTCAGTGTTTTGTGTAGTGCAAAATAATCAGAAAATGCCATTGTCTAAAGGATTTATTCATATGTAACAAAGAAGACTTCATCACTGGTGATTGAGAACTATCTCATACCAAAAATCGACACACATATCCTGCGTGCGGCTTAACAATGCAAGTAGATTTTGAAGCAACTGAATTCTGATGTCTCAGAGTTTTATAAATGGAGTTTTCGATACATTTCCCATGGTCTGTATGACTTAGCGCATTTTTGTGGTTATTTTATTTTATTTATTATTTCATTATTCTTGTCAGTTTTCCGTATTCTTAAATTTCATTTTTATTCCTATTGATTTGTAGCTTTTAATGTCTATTACTACAACCCGTCATGTCACTTTATTGAGATCTATGTTTCCGGTACATAAATCAAACCTCTTGTCACTTTTAACTTTCCATGCAACTACTATTATAGGATCACTATGACAGCTACAGTCCCTACCGCTGTTACTTTTAAAAATTTCATTTTCTGTCCGAATGAATCAGTTATACAGGGTTGTCGTGATGATGAAATGCACTTGTTCACCATGTGATCTGGCATCTTCACACTCTAAGGTTGAATTATATGATTGCGTGTCTGATAATCTAAAACATTTAGCGGTTAGCATTTTAGTCCTATTGATACACAAGTGAATGTCTAGTGCAAGTGTTGCGTAGCTTAATTCCCTATAGAATTTGAATTAAGCCGATTTATCGCCCACTTAATCTGCGTTCACAAAATGTATGCGAACCTCTTTGCACCATAATTTGCTAAATATGCTAGTCGGTTTCCTTGAATTTAGTTAACTTAATAGAATATTATTACCTCTTAAAGTTCACTTTTTTCTCAGCTTAACAATACTTGTGATTCTTTACATAATGGTGTGAAATGTCATTACCAAAAATGTTTGCTTGCTGTAGACGTTTTATTACTAAACTGTAAGGATATACATATTAAGACCTATAGTACAAGAACTCTGAAATTCCCTCCTACTCAGTAGTTTTTACTCGATTCATTCTGCTTCACTTCGATATAAATTAAAACACCCGACAATATATCAAGGAAGTGAATCATACTGATATTATCTTTCGAGAATTTTTTGATTATTTTAAAGGAGTGAGAGAATAAAACTCCAACTTTCCTACAGGCAATGTTACGTTATTATTTAGTGTATGACACCAGAAGAGGAATTTGCAGCCAGTGTTTTCAATACATCACACTGTATCACTGAGTGCTACACACATCCATGCCTACAGACAACAGTTAGGTAAACTTTTTAAGTGTTCGTTTGCGAGGATATAAGCTTTGACAACTGAATAGAACACTTTAGATTTTTGTCACTTTTTAAAACTGAGACATATGATTTATCTTTCATGCATGTGTTACATCTCCTGGTTCTGTGAAGCAACAGAAAGGATATAAACCTTGTGAATTAATACTACCTCATTCCACTTTAACAGCACTTCAACTTTCTGAAGTTGCCGAATCCGCTTGATCATTTTTATATTTTTCAGTTGGTCTGTTTGGATTGTTAGGTGCTACAAGTTATTCTGGAGAATGTTGCATGTTCCAGTAGACCATGTCAACAAAAGTTGCCATAGTTTTATCAAGAGTTAACTTGATATCTTTATTTTTTCCCAGAATAACATTACTAAAATTTTCAAATCTATACAACTTGCTAATGTTTGGTAATGAACGAACTCTCGCAAATCCTTTGTTTCCAATGGATTGCTTCGTTAACTCCAAGTTAAATAGCTGTCCGTGAAATGTTACTTTGTTTGATCAATAATACCTCAATTTCTTTAACTTATTATCTATTCAGGGCCTATGCCGTTACCTGTTGGGAAGTTTTAACTCTTGGTGCTGATCCATTTTATGGTCGAGCTAATGTCGATGTCATGAATCTGGTTATTGGTGGACATGTTTTAGGACGTCCAGAAAACTGTCCAGAAGAACTGTAAGTCTAATTTTTACAATTCATATTGCTTAAACGGAGATTATATGATTTCAGGATTTTCATCATGAGCTGACATTAGTTAGGAGTTAAACATCGTGCTGATATTTATACACCATAATGATTCCTACTTTAGCCAATAAAATTGTTGATATCTTTTGTAACTGATATGGATGACTACATTGAGCATAAGTGAGACCCGTATACTAACACGTTATTACAGCTAGTAACCACTTTTTCACCATTTGCAAGTGGTGGAAAATATGTGGTTAGTGTGACTGAATAAAATAACGGGTTACGTTCTATCGCTTATAACGGTTGGCTGTGTGTTTGAGGGTCAGAGGAATACATATACTCAGTTTGATGCGAGTTTATCCATTTGACGATTCTCAGGTAGGACATTGTGCTCATGTTGGATTCTGTTACTGTTACAAACAGAGCTGTTTCATCTAAGAATCAATAATTGACTAATCATTAACAACTGTTGGCAACCAACTAGGTTGAGGCTACATCTGCTAATAGTGTTGTCGATAAACTGCATGACAAAATGTTTGAAAGCAATCAGCTGGCTTTAGTTCAGTATATTGACTACTGAAAGTAGACTTCTGCTAAGTATGACTTCCATTATTCTTGAGTCCATTCCCGAAAACAAATATCAGTGGATTAAGAACTGCATGGTTTTGAATGCTTTTTTGGCAATTTTTGACTTGCAACAGAACTCACCCTTAAGTTTAGGAAAACGCCGAATTCTATTTGCTTAAATTAGAATAAGTAGGTTGGTATTATCCCGAATAATCAACTATACAGAAGACCAATTTCCTGTCAGTATTATTTTTCTTCTCTTACTTTGTGTTCCATGATGCGAGACACTAACCATTTTGAAGCAGCATTGTTTTGTTCTTTATTCTATTTGAAAAATGATGAGTGCCATAGAAAACATCATATATTAATTTATTAGGTCGGAAATTAGAATTTTCTTGTGTCAAGTTTTCACCTAAACTTTAATGAACCGTTCGTTATATCAGCTTCAGCCTTCTCTACTTAGGCTATATCAGGCAGTCTTCACAATAAATTAAACATGGTTCACCTTTAAATTTAATTACAAATTTAATACCTATCTTATGCTTCATATATGATAAAAAGCAAGTAGGCGGAGCTAATATTTTTGTTCGGTCAGTAGGCTGTCACTTGCCTGATACAGAGAATGAAGATAATATTAATATTATAGCATTAAATAATAATGTTAAATCTGCCTTCGAAATCATTTGCAGGCAGTAGATGGCAATGTGTTACCTGAGACTGTTGTTGTTTAAAATCATAGTCTTTGACATGTAATCCATGTTTCGAGGATTTATGTTACACATGCCATTTTGTCTTCATAATCAACGTATAAATCACTGCAGGCAGTGCAATACATCCTTTGTAACTTCAGATATCCTGCATACGCGGCTAAAAATGTTTTTGCTAGAAAGTGACATTATCAGAAAGAATCAGTCGATGCAGTGAAATATTAACCCGCTGTTTTGTCAAACTTGTATAGGCACATGATAATAAGTTTTAGTTTTGTCTAATTTTGATTCAACGAATATTTTCTGTGAAGTTAGGCAAATAAAGAGGGCACACAGATTGCATATCTCAGTTACCATGCTTAATATAGTAAACTTAAATCCTAAGTGAAAGTGGATAGGAATGTCACGAAAGGAGAAGAAAACTAAAAATGAGATATTAAGGAAGACTTGTAGATGACGCACTTTTATTTTGAAGTGACTAAGAGTGCATTAAAGAGATACAGAAATTTTCAAGTATTGGTTTTGCAGGGATTTTTGTTTGATTGGTTGGAGGATTTCATCATGAGCTGGCATCAGGTTTTCCAATGATTCTCTGACAGATACAGAAATATATAAATGTGCATGTGAGTGAGATTAGATGCAATGAGGTAGAGGACGAAGAAGAATTCTTCACCGTCAGAGAAAAGATTTTATAAATCATATTAAAATACGATGGCCATTTGATTTTTAGCAGTCACCTGCCACATTCACATGACGAATGCGGTGCTAAGTATTTTTCAGTCCATCTCTATGAATATAAAGATTTCGAAATTTGAAATTGTGCTTGCGATCAGTGATATTTGCACTTTGTTGTGGCATCTATAGAAAAACAGTACCATTTCCAATATATCTGGTTGTTACAAACTTACTAATGCAGATGAAACAATCAGTCACTCTGCCCTAATAATATGATTAAAAAACAAGTTTGAAACACTTATAAATATTGGACGTGGTTATTCAGAAGAACTTATCCGCTTTTTCCATCCAGTTCCAAGGATAACGAACAGAGACCAGTACGGGAGCCTTTGTAATGACATTCATAGCACATGTACAAGACATCGAAGCCGGTGTTTCCAGATGGTGGCACTCAATGAGTGGTGATCTCCAACGCGTCCAGACACATGCTGCTGGACTTTTACTCACGACTATGCTATAGAAATGGAAACAGCAATGACGGAATACACAGAGTCGCCGCACATGGTCATCTCTCGAAAAGGCCACGTTTCACAGGCGTACAACAGACTGCGCCCACTGAAGCACTTTAAACCCAACCTCTGACAGCCAGGCTAACTTTGTGGCGGCGCCAAAGGTGGCCCAAATGGGCATATGCCATCCAAGCTTTCATGATACAGCTAGAAATCTCGTCCGTCACGCCTCCGCCAGCACTCGCAAAACTAACCAGATACACAAACTTATAGACAACTTCAAGAGGTTCACCTGCAAGGGTGAGTGCAAGTACACGCTCCTGCCAGTCATGTGACAGTACTTTTCACTTGGATGGCACAAAGCATATACCATACTTACAGACACTGATCACCAGCTGGTTAATTGTGATGGGAACAGTCTGCATGTTATCACACACAGTATGCATAGTCGAGGTCGAAAAGTCTTTCTCCAAGAAGCAGATCTACACCACCACCACCACAAACGTCCTTCACAGCTGACTCCAGAATGTCAAAGATGGCAGAGTTACAGAGAAACAGAGAGACTGGGAAACCCTGTTTAACTCCATGTTAGTTGGGATCGGTGGTGATAGCTGGTTGTATGCCATCACTCTACCTGAGTTATTTCTGTATAGGGATTTTAGGATTTTAACAAACTTCTCAGACACTCTTCTCTCTAAAAGACAGTTCAAGAGAGCAGCCTTAATATCAAGAAACAGCTATTTTCGGCCTGCAATATGCGTGGCGGTGTTTCAGCAACTGACGAAGGGTGAACACATGATTAATGCATCTAAGACCTGAACGAAACCTGACGTGCTCTTCACGTGTTTTGCACAGCCTCCAAAACAAGACAGAAGTCAATATTGTAGACACTTCCTCATATTTTTCAGAACAATCCAGTTAAAGCCATCCCCAAAATCTAACCACCATCTTTAGTATGAGCCAGGGGTAGATTTTCTGCTCATTGTGCCTCATAGTGTTTCAATATTTTTAGTTCTCTTCGGACCTCCGCTTCTACTGGTGGGTTGGTATTGACCAACAAGAGGGCACTGTAGCTAACGATGTTGGATACTGGCGCTTATGGCTCATTAAAATGCCTCTCAAGGTGCTGTGCCCAGCGTTCCATCTGCCTAACATACCGTCTCGCTGACACCACCCTTCTTGCCGCCAGTGGGTCGAATGAGCTGGAACAGTCTCCCACTGTTGCCAGATTCAGCTGCTGACTCCATCTCACACGCGCGTTCTAACCACCAGGCTTCACGGTCTTTACGTAAACACTGTTTGATCCTGAGCGTGTCTGTCTGACAGAATGGACCAGAGCTCATCCAAAAATTTCGAGGAACTCGCAGAAACTCATTGGTTTTGGGGGGAACATTCATATAAGCCGCAAGTGGCTTCATTCTCTACTTGCTTAGCGCCTTGCAGATATAGCCAATGTTCATCTGTACTACTTGGAGGGTTGCTAGATAGCTCTGATTGTAACTCAGTCTGGAACTTCAAAGAGGTAGAACGTGCCACTAGTTTGCCATCATTTATGAATCCCACCAAATCGCAAGACGAACCTGACACACACTAAAGCATTATCGAAGTCCACCCATTAGATCCAGAAGCAGCGGCAGTCCTGTAATAATCCAAATCATCAGAAACTAGCAGCGATGTGATCAACCTTAGTCCAGGCTTGATTGGCAGAAGGGGGATACCATATAGGCTATGGTGCTGGAGACTTAGTCGTAACATTAGAGGATATTAGGGGAATTTTTGGAAATTATAATGCTCACAACGAACATTACATGCTAAAATTGAATGAGAATCAGAGATGTATTACTAGGAAACAACAAAACTATGCACATGAAATAGAGTGTTTTGCTTAAGATACTAACGTAGTAAATTTGAAGGTGGATGAAAATGGTAAATTTCTTTAGCGCACTCCTAACCACTTTGCAGATATTTCGAGTAATCTGTTCTAAAACGCACTTTTGGTGGGAGCTTATGTGAGTCGGGAAGACAAAAACAGATCAAATTATTATTCCTTCCTTGCCTTAGGAGTAGGATAAAATGCTTCGGCAGTCTATAGCCACTGTAATCGTTTCACCGCTATCACCGTCACCTGCAAGCTTTCATTTCCTCCTCTTATGATTTCTTTTGTGTCACCCTCAGACTCCCAACCTGTCGCTTACATTGGGATTCAACTCGACAACCTGACGAGTGATACTACTCAATGGCTTCCTCACGGTATATCCAGCCTGTCTCCATTTCCTTCTGCGTACTTGATATGTAATAGTTTCTTGACTGGTTTGTTGCAAGAGCTCCTTGTTGTTTATCTTTTCTGGTTGGTCGGTCATATAACCTTTTATTTCCAGAGATGGCAAATGCTGCGAAAAGTGTACAACCGGTTGGAAACACTATTGGCAATGCGTGTAAGTCTGTTCCATACAGAAGCATTGACTAGACACTAGTGTTAAGAGTCCGAAACTTATTCCTTGTGCTAATTGATATGGATATCTACAGTGATTTCAGAGTAGTGAACGTCTGTCCTACTTCCTCGATCTTGGTTTTGACATCCTCATCAGTCCTTCCCCCTTCTGTAGCTGTAACGATGCCCATTAGGCAAGTGGAAGATGTCTTCCTTTAGATTTCTTTCACTGATGGTGGCTGGTACTACTTCTTGTTTTTGGTAGAGCATCTTCATGTCCGATGTTTTTTCTGTATTCAGCTGAAGTCCTGTTATCTTGTCCTCTTCTAACAAACTGTCGGTGTTCCCCATTGTTGAATCCACAATAGTTAGGGATATCATGAAGGGTAGTAGGCAGTCCGTTTTTATTCTTATCTTCACTCTGAACTACTTAGTGAGTTTTTCGTTGTGAATTACGTGGCATATAGCATCACAGTATAATAGCAGAGGGCAAGACACATAAGTGAAGGGATATTTTTCACTGATCAAACCGCTACTTACATATATATATATATAGTTTTTATTCTGCAACCGAACACTGAGCATGTGGTTTCGGTTCACATTAAATGACATGAAACAGAATGTTCAAACATATATAGTATCCTGTCGCTAATGCAGTACTGAACTATGGGAACATGTGAGAATGATACTCAGTTGGAACACCTGTCTGTATCACGCCACCACAACAATACATAAATGTTTGTGACACTACAATTTGTAGTGTTGAAGCAGTTGCTAATTTCCTCCAAGGTTAACGAAGTTGAGGTAAAGAGTTGTTTGCTATTCTAAGCTCTTTTCGATGATAACGTCTTGTCTTGCAATTCTATCCGCGCATGATCTATCTCCTCCTTAATCCAGCCTGTTCTAAGTAAAGTTTCCCATCCAGTGCATCTTTTAATCTTCTCAGAATAATGCAGATAAATATTTTATTTGTGGTGGACAAGGGCATGATGCCATGCCAAGATCAAACTAAAAGGTCAAAATAATAATGAATATCAATAAGGTGAAAAAGGGATAATAGTACATTAATACTGGTACCAGAATCAGATTTACTTAAGTGGGTTTAGTTTCATAAAAAAATTGTTTATGCTTACATAGTTATGTCAACCTTTTATTCTGACTTATGTTCATCTTCTTATCCCTTGGCTGCTAATTATTTCCATACAAATTCCAACAATGTGTACGTGTGGTCAGATTTCGAGAAGTGTTCTGTGCCAGTACACTCACCACACGATTTACATAAGTTACTGCCTCTTATCATTTCTTCATAAGTCACAAAGCAAATTAATAATTTCAAATTTAGAAGCTAAACAATGTATCGACAGTGGCATCACATTCTATGAAAATAGGGCACACTACTTAGTTTGATGGAAGTGAGGTTCTGTATAAAGATTTTGTGCTTTATAAAGAAAGACTAGCTTCGTAACCTTTGCATGTATGAAATAATCCACGACAATTTTTTTCTATTGAGAAGGCATGATATTAGTTGATTCTTGACAAGTGCTCATTATTACAGAAAAACTACAGCATTGATGGTGATATTCACTTCCAGCTTCATCTTCATTTAACTCCTGTCATCAGTAATCCTATATAGACTGTAATTATTCTCGACTATATTATTGTTTGTTTATCTGCGATGTGTTTAACAGACACTATAACGGAAACGTTCTACAGATAGTTGATCTTGAATCTTAATATGATGACGTCAAATGATCTACTCACGCATTTTGTTTCCTGATTCTTTTTTCGCCTTACACACACACACACACACACAAACATACAAACACAAGGCCTACATAATCACAGAAGGATTCTTCATACATTTAGTGAAAAGAGAATGATTGCGAGAAACAGTTAGAAATTTCCTATTGTTTACCAGTGTCTGCTTATGATAACTTCACATGCCTGGCTATTTGATAAATCAAATATATTTAGAAAAGAAAAGATTACCTACGTGTTTACCCGATTTCATTTATTGGACTGTGATGTTTTGACTTTGGTTATTTGCCTCAAAAAAAAAGAAACATGGACTACATTGTAAGAATGAATATTAGAAGGAGTCAAGGGCCGCCAAACAATGGGAATATTTTATTTCAAAATGCTCAGATTTGTACAGTTATAATTTACTTAAAAATACCTACTATATGGTCGGAAAACAATATTTTTTTGAATGCATTATTGAACCTCGATATAAATTTGAGAAAAAAAGTCATACTAATTTAAATTTACTCCTTATCTTTAATTCATGAAAAATCCCCATCCAGACATTTCTTTAATTCCTTCACATTCCTAGTGGAACATAGGGCTTCAAGCTAGAGGCTTGAAGTTTCTGTAGCAGTGTTTATTTTTACAGCCTCATGCCCAACCTTTCCTCTTCACCAGCATTATTTCTGGCCTAGCGAGGTAAAGGAGTGCGCCGGCCGGGTATCGAACCCCGGACCATGTGCATGGTCGGCGAGCGTCCTAACCGCTATGCCACCGACGCACCAAGTACTAACCGGGCCCAACGTTGCTTAACTTTGGTGATCGGGCGAGAACCGGTGCTTTCAACGTGGTATGGTCGCCGACATTAGTGAGAACAAAACACATAGTTCAGCGAAGAGTCTCTTTTCGGTGGAGAATTCATTCACTTAGCTGTGCAGCCACAATTATATAAAAACTTATTTTTGTATGTGTGTGTGTGTGTAAATTAGGTTTTTCGAATAAGAATAAAAATTAGTTAGAGTTGTTGTTCACGTCATCAAAATATTCCAAAAATGTGCTGAATAATCGAACTAGGGGTGGGTGGGGGTGATGTGATGTCCTATCCAAAAGGGTTCAAGAACACTGTCCCGCATAGCTGCAAAAAGGTAATAGTGGCTGTATTAGGAGTGCTATAATTTAACATCTCGCTAACACTGGCCATTCCATCTCAACAAACGCCTCCTTCAAGGTGATCTGCAAAGTGAAGAATAACCTACCAAAGGCAATACGCTTTCGTCTCTTTTGTATTGCTGAAGCCTTAACCATTCAGTTGGAGAAACCAGAGTCATGTATACAAAAGAAAATCACTCAACCACTTCTACTATCATGGTAACCACCGTGTTGACTCATACTGACTTGATGTTTGTGTGCTGGTTTTCTTTTCTAACCCCTTATAACATTTGTTATTTTTAAAACTTTTACATATTTCCACATTTTCCTTTGTATCTATGTGCATCCTGATCACAACTCACTCATTAAACTATTCATCTTATTGCGTAAGTGCATAACGCTCATTCAACTTTTATGTATTGGTAAATGTATTTTGACAACACATCACCATTACCCTCCTACTAATGCCGCCCCAACTCACCCCTAGTTACAGTTCGATTATTCAGCACATTTTTGAAATATTTTGATGACGTGAACAACAACTCTAACTAATTTTTATTCTTATTCGAAAAACCTAATTTACACACACACACACATACAAAAATAAGTTTTTATATAATTGTGGCTGCACAGTTAAGTGAATGAATTCGCCACCGAAAAGAGACTCTTCGCTGAACTATGTGTTTTGTTAGTCGTTAGAATTTTCTAATCATTTTGATAATGATGAGTATTCATCATCCACACTAATGTATTTCAATAGTTCTACCGGAAAAAAATGAAGCTTAAATCCGAAGAAATCATTCCTCTACTATGTACTCCACATGAAGTTAAAATCCAGTTGTGTAGCATTGACAGTGTAATTGTTGCAATTCGCAATCTACAATGACTGCAGAATGTTTAGACCACACACTGAAATTTTAATTTTTTACAAAAACTTGAATAAAGCAAGAACAACAGTGGTTTGTGCAGAATAATATGGCACCATCATTTATTTCGTTGGCTTCTCATCAGCTGCTTACAGCCTAAATAAATTATGAGGTTTGCGTACAGAAAAGTTTTAACATACTTGCAAATTTTACATGTTGTCAGTTGACAAAAAGTGAACAGTACTCAGAAAATTGTGCTTATATAGTTTTTACACAGGCAGTTCAAGTTTAAACAAAATAAATGTTTGCATGCAATGGTAGAAGAGTTACGTAATAAAGACGAGATATGCGTTAGATACAAAGTGACTAATAAATTAGGTAACAATGTACTGAGTTCAACTCAAATCATAGAAACAAGAGACAAGCAAAATTACAGATTATAAAAGGAGGTGAGGCTAAAGACAAAGGTTACGTAATCAGATGAGGGAATAAAGACATTCAGTTACCAGGGCAAGGAAAGATTAATAACTGCTTCTTTCTGAACACATAAATCTATTTTCAAGCGTTTGATAGAAATTGCTTCGGCAAACTTGAGGAGAATGGAACTCCTTTGTCTATTGATAATTTTAAAGGATTTCGCGATTTCCACCTCATGAACCGTATCGAGGAGATGTCTGGTAATAGCGCTATTATAAGAGTTTGTTCTCTTGAGACGTAGGCTTTTTGGCACATGTTCAGAAAATCGGAGGTGTACCCTTCTTTCCGTTCTCCCAATGTAACTTTTAACAAAAACCGATAGGTGTTGTGGGTAAGTAAAATGTGGTTTTCATGAGCATTAGAGCTCTTTTTTATACTTTGCAGAAAAAAAATCAAACTCATAGAATGTTTCGTGTCACTCAAGCCTTACCACATATATCATCATAAATTCATAGATCCTTTTATATGCATATTAAGTTCAACAATAAATCGGATTTGTTTTTCTTGTAGTTGCCTGATCATCTCCTCACTGCTCGTAATACATTCAAACACAGAAATGGTGAATAATTGTGACCAAACAGAATTGACGCGTTAATTTCTAGACAGCGAAAACTGCCAACTCATGGGTTCTGGTTAGCTTATAGGGCCAACTGGTTGCGAACAGAATACATGGAAACCCATAACATTCATATCACTGTCTGTAACCTGCCTTAAACCACAAATCGCATCTAGTAAACAAGCAAAACTGGAGAACGGTATTTACCACTGGTTGATATGAGTATTTCGAAACCACTCATTCCAATCAGTGGTATTAGCTGGCGTTCTTCACGTCATTTGTATCGTCAAGCAGACATTCAAGTACTCTTACAGAGCTCCAAAGCAACCTTAGAACCTTACTTAAATCTTCTATTCTATTAAGGTTCATTGGCTGGATGATAACATGCCTGCTGAACACTTGATAGTCCTGGGGTCCGTCCTGAACGGGATGACTACTGCACACTTCTTAACACAATCAAGCTAAAATAAAACAGACTTCTACTTCAGCATACCTTTCTTTTTTTCTAGGTAATGTGTTTGTCTAACAGAATATAAGCGCTTCTAATTTGACCAACAGGAAAACTAATATTTTTCTCGAAATTTTTCATATAATCACTGACAATATAAATGTTGTCGATTTTCCCTCAGTTACAATCAGTTACTGCAATGTTGGAGTCGGTTCACTGAAATGAGACCAACATTTGGACAATTATGCAAAAAGATGGATGAATTTATTTTGGCTTCACAAAATGGGCAAAGTCCTTTCGCTCAACCGTTTGTTGTGTCATTACCACTACCGAAAAGTTTGCAAGGTAAGAATCTGAACTTCTTGTTATATGAATAATGCATGAGATTAAATTTGTATAACAGTAATTTGTACAAAATCTCGTACTATCGTAATCTACCATGAAGAGAACTGGTTTTTGAAACTAAGCTAATTGTCCATCAGCAACACTTGGTAGCCATGTCATTAGGAAAAATGTTATTCAGTCAAACGCATAGCTACAATTATAAACATCCATAGAAAAGCTGTTGATTTACAGACACTCATTACTACCTTTGTCCTGTAAAAAAGGTCTGTTTTGAAGCCTCATTTCGAGTTGATTTCATGAATCATACTGGAGGATTTAATTAGCTGTTAATTAATCATACACAGAGCCTATTTCCATTAGTGTGTTTGGAAAACACCAGGCGGAAACGCTGAACTCATTTCTTTTTACTATAGCTTGAATCGAAACCATATTTTTGGTACAAGTATGGAATTTTCAGCATGTGATATTGGTAGCCAAAATTGATATCAGGTGTGTGTCGGCAGGGGATCCAACATCGGACCATGTGCATGGTCGGCGACAGTCCTAACCGCTATGCCACCGACGCACAACGTGTGTATGAATTTGTACATTATCCAGGATTGAAAGGTGAAATAACCAGTTAGTTCCAGTTTGTAGGACTCTGTATATTAGGTTGTGCTGTTTATGGGAGTTGCTTACTATTAACTATAATAAGTTCTACATAGGTAGATTTATTTTATGTATCTGAGATGATTTAATGGGAATTAAGAACTCTTCAAAGATGGATTACTTATTGTAAAACGCGAATAACAATTTAAATTCCGAATTTTTAGCATTGTGATTAAGTAGAACTTTACGCTGACTATTTTGCAGGTAACATTCTATATCTTTTAATTCATCAACAAACGCTAACTAATTCTCATTGTTAATTACAGGCGGGTCAGGTCAACAAGCATCAATTTATGATTCAAACAAGCCACAACACCATGAATCAAACGACTTATCATTAGGCATGCTTTCGAATAATGGTCAGCACAGAACGTCACTGGATGGTGGACATCCAGTAAGTGACATGGATTCATTACTAATCAATGAAACGAATTTATCCCACGGCATGAGTTCTAGTAAACAACTTCTCCTGTCATCCAATACATCAAAAGACTTGAAGCCTTCTACATTTCACAGCAAAAGTCGTTCTTATGCAGAGGCAGCTACACGTGGTTACATTGTAACACCTGGTGTCGAAGGTATTAGTATGAATAAGTTTAATTACCGAGAATCACGAATAGAAAATCAAATTTACACCTCATCAACAGCGCCACTGACTGGTGCCTATGAATGTTCAATGTCTGATCCATCCACGGAACAAACAACGCTAGCTACAACGTCAAACGGCACCGAAAGTAACAGGCAAACATCAATCAAGTCGAAATCGAGATCATTACATGAAAACACAGAAAATGCCATTGACAAGAACCTACATTCTACAAACGCAACCCACCCGCAGCAGCGACAGCAACCCTTTAACCAGCCACCCAGTAAAAAGTTTGGTGTAGAGAATTTAGTACGTCATCAGAGCGATTCAAAGCCAAATCCATATAAGACCTTAGGCTATCAAGATGTCAAAAGTACTAATGTCAACAAATACAATGCTTTCAGTAGCATTGCTGACAACCCAAATGATAATAAAAGTAGTGAAATCACACCATTTAACTACACTCATACACACAGCAAATCAATGAATTCAAAATCAGCGAGTATGGTGGACACTATGCCACATAGTAGTAGTGGATCAACTAACAATCGAAGCCTAACTGCTTATTGGCTGATGGAAACTGGAGGTGGTGTTGATTCATTAGGTTACGAGAGGCCTTCGTTAATTCGTACTTCGTTCCCATCTCAAACAAACTCAGCAACTTCAAACAGCGAAAATAATAACGTATCGACATTCATCGATCAAAACTGTAATAATGATTTCCTTGAAAGAGTTATTTGCAGCCACCAATCGTTGAGGAAAACGAAAATCAACCCTCTGACAACATGAAATGTCAGCATGATGCGGAAATCAGTTATAATGTGTTAATAAAGACAATATCGCACAAAATCGCTCATGAATACATACTACCATAGTGAAAGAACACTGAAAAGTCCTTCATTATTGTTTTTACTATATCGACTAAACACTGAATAATTATTGTTTTGTTTTAATCCTTTCAACTTCGTTTACGTTTACCAATTCGACTTTATGTTCTAATCCTTGAATATATATATATATATATATATATATATATATATAAGAAACCATTACTTATTTCCTAAATATGAATCAATTTTATTTCACTGATGTACATGTATACCTTCTCAAACGTATTCTATCAAAACAGAAACTAAGCTTTTCTCTTATTTCGTAAACGAATACTAACAGAAAGACTGTCTACAATTTTAATATTATTGGGCATTTTGGTTAATTTTTACAGTCTGCGATAAAATATACATCGTTTAAAAACACACTACTATTTGCTATTTAAGTAACTATTGTTTACACATACAATTTTATAGGTTTAAGAAAACATTAAAATTGAAATCTTCACTGCAACATCTTGTTGCATATATTAATAATAATAAGTCAAAAGGATGTACGAAATGTATGCAGTTTACTATGAATCAAATGAGGAATATATCTGCATTAGGGTTGTTTTATAACATCATATGACACGTGCTTGATGACTTTTGTAGTTGACTGTTAAAGTATTGTTAAAAATACCATCCACATGGGATATATTACAGTTAATAATTTTGAAGCCACCAATTTCATTCACAGTATACATCAATTAATATTCCTAAGCAAGTAATACCTGAGGGCAGAAGGATTTACAGGTTAAGGTGATATAGTGCTTTCAAAAGTGACTCATAAATTCATCTCTATTATACATCTAGCTAAATCCAAATACTAAACAAGAATTGAACGTCAACTACAAACAAAAAACAATTCTCATAGCACACCAAAATGTAAAGGTTAACTAACGTCTTTCAAGAACTCTTGTATATAGGATTTTAATTTTACAAAAAAATCATATTAAGACATGCATGGAAAATGAAAACAGAAGATTCAGTGAAGGATCTGTTTTCTTCAGTTTCGTTTACTATAGTTGTATAATCTTAATTATATACAATCTGGTTTAATAATTTTGCGTTCAAAATACGTGCATACATTAGCAAGCAGAATAAATGCAGTTGCTAAAATTAGTGTACACTAATCAAAATACATTGCATGTACAGTGAAGGTGAGTAATAAGAGACACTAAATTGCTTAACAAGACAAAATGTTTAACAAACGAATTATTATCGAAATGATCAAGGAAACAAAAAGAAAGAGGAGTTAGATGAGAATCACGTCAGGTAAATGAAAAAGATAAAGGGATTTTAACATTAAAAGATTATTGCCATGAAACAATAGGCTGAGTAGGCTTTTCCAGTTTAAACAACTCCGGTTTCTCTATTAAGCTTCAACATTAGAGATTTCCGCCTGATGGTTTTATTCATAGGACGGTTTAGGTATCTATTTTCGACAAAGAAACTTCTTCCATGGTATTAAGGTTGCATGTATGCCTAATGCACCTGATCTCATCGGATCTCTCTTGCGACTGGCGGGTTTCCAGTTGTAGAAATTTGTCACGTGGCCATTTCATGATAGCTAACCGTGAGTCGATCTCCTCAAAGTTTCATCATCTCCCTATAATAACATGCACATCAAGAAACAGAAAATCATACATTTCCAGTGGGAGAAAAGGAGAATTTAGTGACAATGGCTTAGTTGAAATTATACAGCCCCAGAATTCTGGCCTTCTCTGATCCTGAGTACATGATTGTGGACTCATTATTTACAATTACGGTAATAAAGCAATAGAGGCTTTATTCCTTACCATACTTATAGGGAATATCCGCTTCCAAGTACAAATTTAAAAAAACAAGACTTATTGAATTCTTTTATTCTAATAAGACATCATTGTGTATACTTTTTTGTAATGAAGGAAAGCACAAAATATAAAATTGTTTAGACAGAGTTAAGACGCTGATTGTTCCTACCGGAAATTAAGAATTCGTTAAATCCATATTAAACAACTTTTGTTGTTCATTCAAAACTTTATTTTTTTTCTAAAAACAAAAACAGTGACTTGATGGAAAAAATTTAGGTTCGACAATTTTGCTATGCACAAAACTGGAAAAAAAAGTAAAGTAAGGCTGTGGTTAAAAGTGAAATCCCAAACTAAAACAAACCTAACTAGGAATGATTAGGGTAGGCAAAAACTATGCGGTTTCACGAATGTCAGTAGTCAATCTTACTAAATAGCACTAAACATGGCATCAGATAGGCAACTTTCTACATCAAAAGGGCTTAAATCTTGCTTCCCGGTGTCTTTTATTCAACACAAAAATGTTCCCATCACTGTCGTATGGGATTTTGTAATAATCACACAAGACGAAAGTAGTTGTGGAATTTCTCCACCTCCTTGTTAATTATTCGCGAATGACTTCGTTGAAAAGGAGTTTTCTTACTGCAACCGTACTTTTTTTCATTTTTCCTATGATCTAGTGTTCAATGAGAAGTATTTCAGATCAGTATGAGGATAAATTATTATCAGAAATTTTAAACGATAGAAGTTAATATCATACACCGACAGAAATGGTAAAATTCGTCAAAAGTTTTCAGACACAGCATCTTAGCCACAGATTTGGTTTCTTCAGCTACCCCATTTAATTGGAAGCAGACAACTGGTGAAAGATTTTTTTAGTCAACGTAGATACACACTGTGCTGACGCATGGAACTGTACATCATACATCTGAAGTAACAGACGAAATGAAAGTTTTTGGTGCCCTACTAGTTTTGCTACTTAATTATGGTTGTGGAGCACATTTACAAACTGTACGAGTATGAAGGAGGCATTTTTCTTGTCACATCAATGAAATTCAAATATGAAAAACAAACTTTAACATCGTATTTTACCTACTCGATCAACACAAGACTAAAAAAAATTTCTTCCTATCCTAATAATAAGCAATAATAAAGAAAACAGAAATATTATGATGCGGGTAGTTTACCACTTTTACGGTAAATATTTGAAAAATCTGTTCAACTTCAATACATTCATAAAGATTAGATCTTGCATACAGGTCATATAATCCCAAACAAAAAGTTTAGAATCCCTTTTACAGTCTCAAAAAAAAGAAATTAAAAACTACTAGCAATGTTCACTTCTGTATTAAAGCTGATTTAGTAGTTATTCTATTACTAAAATCATTCATTCCTAGACAAAGTGAAATCGATAATAATTACCTAATATGCAGCATTTAGCATCACAAAAATATGAAAGATGAGACCTATAATGAATATACGCGTCACGGTTTGAGATTTTCGGTGGTTTCTCTGTTTCTGACATTAGATTAAGTTGACTGCGAGAACCAAAGGCTATATACTGCTAGTTATCTAACCTACTAGCGATAAGTTGACCAACACTTTTATTACTGATATAAGGATAAAACTTGGGCGCTGTGGTAGAGATAAAGTCACACAGTACAGTAATATTTACTACATAATAATGTGTGACTTTATCACGATAAAAATTTTATCCATAATGGAATTACACTTCCAGCTTTTACCCTACCAAACAAAAAATCCATTGCTAATTATCCACTGCTTTTACGCAATATCATATAAACTTTTCAGCAACTTGACTGACTGAAATAGCTTCAACTAAATAGGACTTTACACAGAAGTGAAGGAGTTCAAGTTGTCATATTTCATGTAGCACAACACAAAGGCAGACAAAAAAGATCTTCAAAAGCACTATGATAAACAGAAAAATGAGGGGGAAAGAATAGTAACGCAGAAAAAACATGAGAGTTTAGTGGTCATAAGAGATTACAAAGATTGAATGCACCCACGTCATTCCGCCATATTACCAAAAGTCTCCATCTATTCACTCATAGCGTCCAGAGGAACTCAACTAGGCAGCCTACACCTCCCTACGTAGCTCAAACCCACTGTCACAGACTTCATGGACTGATACCAGGTTTTGGTCTGACCACCCAGAACTCCTTTCAGTGACATGAATGTAATGAGAAATTAAATCGGAAAACTACCCCAATATTCAGTACCATATATGAAGCCTTGTGATGACTAAAATGTTTTGAAATCTTAGTTTTAGTGAATAAAAGTTTGAAAAAGGTACAGAGAAAGATTTTTATTTCAGATTAGTTTAAAGCTGTACAATAACTGGTGCTTCATCTCCATCCCAGTCAAATTCATCAACAGGTATTTCAGTCGTGTCTGCAACATGCTTTTCAGGTGAACAAAATGAACTGATCAGATCCCACTTGAATCGTTGTTTTATACTACTAGCGAAACCATCAGCACGCTTAAGGAGGTCTTTCAGTTTATTGCTTGTATCATTTGAAAACATTCCAACATCATAATTACAAACTGAACCGATATTTTTCAAAAGGCGTCCAAGCATAGTCGGGAGAAAACCCGGTTCAGTTAACTTATTCGTGCTTGAAGTAGATGAATCGGTAAAGAAAAGATCCAGTAATTCAGCGGTCGAATGACTACTTTCCACTTCTTCTGATTTATTAGCATTATTTAATTGGTGGTAAAGAACAGTAATGAAATCTATAAACAATTGTGGATAGTCAATAATTGCTTTTTCACAATTAGCAAGTAACTGAAGTATTCGACGCCATTGTTCCCAGCCTTCTATTGAATGATCTAAAATGAAAATATGGACACAAATACGTATCATTATAACCAATATCAGGTAATATACAATGCTATAAACAAATAATAATTTAGGCTCCATCGGCAAATCTGTTGAAAATACGTTGCTAGTGGAGAAAACAGACGTGGTTATCATGACAAAGCTATACAGATTTGAATTGAAACACTATATAAATTTAATGTAATTACTCTGCTGCCTTGCCTTGCCTACATTAGCAATAAGCCAACCCTATTACGGTCAACTAGTCACTGAAATCATGAAACGCAACACATAACCACTGCTTCAAATATCTATGTCTTTATTTATGTCCAAACTAATTAGGAGAAGTGGTTCACCCATATTGCAGAACATTAACTTGGAGAAATATCCGGAAAGATTTACATACTTTATTGTTGTCAGTGGTCAATAATTATATATCTGTCTGTTTTCGACATAGAACTTTGCACATATGTGCGGCAGTTCAAGTCGCTACACCGTGTAGCACACAAAGCAAGAGAAGAAAGTAGGAGAAATGCATATTAGAGACAGAAAACAGAGGAATAGTAATAACGAAGAACAAAACAGTTTCATTGAAAATCATAAGTCACAAGGAGTGGATGCATCTGCGCTGTCATTGAGAACGATTTTGAGCCATGTCACCAATTGATTTCAACCATTGGTTTTTACCGTCCCGAAGTCTACACCTTCCTACGTGGCCCGATTTGGCAGAGGGTCCTGACGTTAAAAGCTCCTATATGAAGTTGGCGATGTGGCTTTAAAAGGCTATCTGGGGTGTTTCTGTGGCTCTCAATTTTGTTTGTGGACACAGAGTGAAGTGAAGATGACTTACTCACTAGCCTGCAGAATAGTGCTAACTGTAGTAGAGAAGCAAGATGAGGAAGGTGATGTGAGTAAGGGAGAGTGATGCTCAGGTAGGATTCGTGTGCTTTTGGAAGTGTGTGGGCGGTTGTTACTTCCCGGTTGCCCACACCGAGGAAGTTGGTTGAGTCTTCGGGTACCTGAAATAGATAAAAGGTTAGTGTTGCGTGACCGCAGAGCCCAGGGGACAACTGCTTGAGGCCGGTCGCACGCGGCATGTTTTTGTTTGTTCTTTCTTGTTTGGTGTGTCTCAGTAGCATATTTATCACTTCTGCCCTGTTACACGGCAGCAGGAAGCGCGGTCGTTGTTAATCCGAGCCCCGATCGATCCGGTATGATATTTTGTGAATTTGTTTGAGTCATAGTATTGGATTGGGTAGCTGCTTTTTGTCTAACCGCTATCCAAACAACCTTTCTGGCATGGTAAGACCTCAAGCCACATAAGTCTCAGCCAGTATAGCTTGTAGAGTCACTGCGGTGTTCAAGCCCGACCACCACGTCAAGGTAGCAGCTTTCGGTGTGAAACTCGAATACACTAGAATCCTAAAGCACAACGCTGTACATTTTCTTCCGAACACACAGATAAACTAAAATATATTTCCCTTAGTGATACAGTTAAAAGATGATAAACTAAAGAAACTTCACAGATAAGATTTCTGGCATTCTCGAAAAATCTAGTTGCCTAACAACGATTCGTGAAAAAAACATACTTAGTAGTAAATTGAGGAAAGCAAATTGAAACTCAGCAAGCAGTTCACGTGTAGACTCAGGATTTTCGGCTGCATCAGTAGTATTCTGTGAAGTTAAGTTAGACGTAATTAGATCTAAAACAACATGGAGAGTATAACTTTGATCCATACAATGTGAGGTGATTTCGACTGGAGAAGAAGTGGGTGGATAGAGAGGTTTTCGCGGAAGTGCAGTAAAACGTACCTACAGAAAATGAAATATATAGAATAAGATAGAAAGACGAATAAGAGAATGACGTAAAACACCCATTTTACAGACAATGTAAGAATTTTAAATACCAGGTCACATAAGTTTTTACATACATCTGAGAAAACAGAGAGGACTGAGTACAGATTAGCTATACGTTTTTGTATGAACTGCTTTCCTAAGTGACTTACTGATATATCAGCCTCAAATTTTGCAAATAAGTGCTTTAATTTAAGCGATCACGATTCCATTGATTACACAAATGAAACAACAAAAGTATGAGACGAAAATAGATTTGACTAGGTGAATAATTAAATGAAGATTGGCAGAGATTTTCAGAATTTAGAAGACAACATGAGTATATCTACGCTACTTTGAACGATTTTGAGTTTTTACACAAAGAATATCCAAACGCCAATTCCTAGCATTTAGGTGACCCCAACTAGGCAACCCACCCAACTGACTCACATAAATAGTTACTGACTTCATGAATCGCTGTCACATTTTGATCTAACCACCACTAACTCTTTACCAACCTTATCCAACTTCAAATAGCACTGTTGGTCACAGAAGGTGGTGCGTTGGCATAAGCGACGTACCAATCGATGAAGATGCATAATCTCATCGATTGACTGATCTCTCATACTTAACACTGTGTAATGTCATTATTACCTATCGTGTCCCACCAAACGTGATAGACTGAATGAAGATATGTATGATCAGAAGTCTCTAATTTTTTTATGTCTTCTACTTTCAGAAGACACGTAACACGACCACAAAATAGAAGAGAGAACTGTTGCATATTAAACACGCATTCTGATATCAAATCAGTATCAAAGGTGACACATATTGGGAAATACTAACAAATCCTTTTGTTCTGTCAGAAAATAATCCATCAGAGTTGTTGTAATATCCCAAAAACAAGTTGTCAACGCAATCATTCATTCGTTGTGTACTAATCATACCTTACATCTGATATGGATAGGATGTACGTCAACCACACTCCTATGTTCGCTTACGACACATTCTTTTTAATGAGACTACAAGTACATATGCTGAATTTCACACAATACGTTAAAGCACAGCGACTCGAACTGCTGCACATCGGTGCAAAGTTCTATGTTGAAACCAGTGAGTCAGTCAGTTAGTCAAAGCACAGTTTCACATACGTGCTAACTTCTACCTTAGTACTTAGAAGACCAAGCTTCTTTAATGGGGTCTATCAACGACATATCATCTAAGCGCTTTAAATTGTCCAGAAAGTCTCTAGTTTGGAGAGTAATTGCAAGATATCGAACGAATGATTCCTAGTCAGAAAAAGAGTAATATACTTTATCAATAACCTTTGCAATAGTAAACGCAGAAAACAAACCAATAAGTCAAGTCTCCGCCTCCAGTGAATATGTAAATAAGTTTTCCTCTCAGAATGTGAGAACCAAGCGAAGACTTGGCTAATGCATTTACTGCTAAAATCTGCACCATTTGCCCAGCTTATATGTTGAAGAACTTCGAAATCTTAAAAACCAAATCTTTGTTCAGTAATTGTCATAAAGGAATCAAAATCAAAACTTTTGCTTGGAATAAAACGATAACACTAATATTTCATAAGGATAAAAAACACGGATACCCTTCTCATCATCTTTGGAGATACAGACCTCATTGTAAGACACATTCAGTTCATAACAATCGTCTATTTCCAAACCGAATCTGCGTGTACGCGAATTAGGTTACTAGCAAGCTATTTCGAAACAGAGATAAATGACAGATGCCACCCAAGTTTTTAACCTAGTTTTAGAATACATTCAGAAGTATACCAGAGTTTTGAGGATCTTTTGAGAGAGATGGCTACACAATCAAGTATTCTTCACTCAGTCAAAATATTTGTCCAAGCCCTTCGCCATTTAAAATGCAGTTGTCGTTAAAACTTCAGAAGATAAATTAAATAAGTGAATAAAAAAGATCAATCTCGTATCTTGAAAATGCTTTTGTGAGATACACCTACAAAAATAAATCCACTGTGAATTGTTGGTATTACATGGTTGGAGGCAATCGGCAGGAAGCACTGGACCTAGGTTTTGTGCAAGTTGGCAGCCGTCAGCATGCAGTATCTGCAACCTTGAAGGAACTAATGTCTCTTCTGATATTCGAACCCGCGTCACCCAGTGATGCGGTCAAAGACGTTACCCCTGAGCTATCCGGGCTCAGATGATGATTTTACTTTTAACTTTATCAAAGTGAAATCCATCTCACATTCTACTCAGAGATGGATAAAATAAAAACTTCCATAAAACAGTTAATTAGATAAACTTAGTGACTATGTTTGATATTCTAAAGACATAGTGCAAAATTATGATAAATTAGGAATCACACCGTCGAAAACTTTCGTCTCTAGATTCCTGAGCTAACCTGATAATTTACACACCCACACAACCAACAATCTACGAGCTTTTAGGTATAGTCTTCTATGTCTTGTTTCTTATCTAGATTTAAGTTAATTGACATCACTTGGTATGAGCAACACAAGTTCCCGCCAGCGCCAGCAAGTACTACTGAGTGACACAAGTGGTTTCCGACTACAAACAACGCTTAGTAACGCATACTACTATACTATCTCACTTGCTTTCTCGATTCGCAAGCAAATCACATATTGTGGCTTGAATATTTTAGGGGAGGTTGTTTTCAACATTCTATACCAATCTGTAACAGAATGAGACATTTCATATTTGTTAATAAAATTGCGATAAGCATAGAAACTATTATTCTCCAACAAAATGTTCAGTATCACTTAGATATAAAATTGTTATGCTGAAACAATGCATTGAAAAGTATCAAAGGACTAACACGAATAGCGATTTTCTAATAATCCTTTCTTCAAATACCAATTTATAGCTAAATCAGTGATCATCCTAAGTGGAATTAAGACAGAAGTGTATCTAATTTCAAAACAATACTTACTTCAGTCCCAGGAATGACTTTCAAATTTGGTAGATCCTCTGTGTTTTTACTTTTTGAGCAATCAACTTTACTGGCGTTCTTAATCGCTAGACGATCCTCTGTATTGGAAGGCACAGACAAAAAGTGTGGACAGGAATACAGACGGCCGCAATGTGGGGCAAGACGACTTAATGTACGTGCCGTTATAAAATTAGATAATGAAATCCAATCCCTGTACCTGGATTACAACAAGAGATGGTGTTTTAGAGAGAAATAAATATTTCTGAAAAATTAATAGAAGTTTGAAACGATAAAAACAAAGTAGTTAGTGAAATAATCACAGAAGCGAACAGTCAATTCATCGTATTGCATGAGGCCGGAATATAATTCACAGCATACACATATACTGGTCTGTGTGCTAATACAATACATTACCTATTTCACCGCAATCCTATAGAAACTTACAATCATCTACAGCGAAAACTTAAATATCTTAAGACGACTAGTTTACAGGAAAAACCAATTTCTTATGACAGAAATCTTGACACACACGACTACTCTCTAGACTTCAAAGTCCTCTACGTTGCAGTCCATATACCCATCAACATATTGAACTAGAAGGACGCATATTTATTGTAATTCTTAACACTAACTCAAATGTTACGTTCATGAACCGGATGTTTATCAAAAATAAACTATTCAAAAGATCGAACAAAAAGTTTGACCGAAACACTAATCCGTAATTAAGGAACCATAAAATGAGATGAAATTTCAGCTATTTGTTAATGACCAAATGCAGTAATTATTACCTACTTTGATGGTCTCCAATTACATTAGCTTAACAGAAGGAGCTTCAACCTACTATGTTTATACCGGACAAACCACACGAAAGTGCAGTGGTTCAAGTTGCCACACTTTATAAAGCATACAAAGGTAAAAAAAGAATGTGGGGAAACTACTATAAACAGAAATGTATGGCAAAAAGAACAACTACATGGAAAATAATGATAATTCAATGGATCTGAAAGATTAACGAAACTGGATAAATCTGTGCCATAGAGAACGACTTTGAGCCATGTCACTGACAGTCTCCAGTCATTGCTTCTTAGAGTCCCAAGGACCACAATTAGGCAGCCTACATCCCTCTACGTGCCTCAAAAGAACAGCCAAAGACTTCATGGATCGATACCAGACTTTGATTTGATCAACCCTAACCTATGTCGGCTAACACTGCTCAACGAAGAAGACGACGGAATGGCGTGAGTAACGCATGTACTAGTCATTTCAATGGCTGCAGCATCACATCCACATCGATTGGTTTCCCCTCCTTACCTAACAATACTCTTAACCTTAATATCACTCACCATACTATACTCGCTTACACGCGAAACAAAACACAGGGACTCGTTGACAACAGCTAGTCTCTTCATGTCCCCTACTTCCAAAGACTGTTTCACAGTCATAAAGGAAGATGAAGAGAATTTTTGGCGTGATATATACATTCTTGCATCCATAGCCGGATATCGCGTTTACGCCAGACATGACGTGAATTGGCGAATACCACACAAGCTTTTTGCAACCATGCTGTGATTTCTTTTATAGTTAATCCACTAAGACAGTATCATCTTACATCTGACAGGGGAGAATCGCATGCCAGGTATTTCAAGACTTTTACTCAATGTGTTCAGAAAATTGCATTTTGTCAATGTCTTCACCTAGAAGGACGATAATAAGTGTACATTCTAAATCGACGAGATATGTCAATCCCTCAGTCATTAAAGTCAATTAGGGTAACGTCAATTAGTATATCTACTATGAAATTAGACAAAAAATGGAGACATTGGGTATCTTTGACGTAAACCACTGCCTGTCATCACTTCAAGTGACAACTCTCCGTGAAGCTCTTTCACAGTCGTGTGAGTTCCATTAGTGTTTCGATTAGTGCGGTACACTTTCTCTGCACCCCATTCATATCCAGACGTTGCCACAGCATCTTTTAGTTGATGGCATCAGGTCCCGCCTTCAGGTCAAGAAATTTGGCACATGGTGAAGGCCAGTAAGTATGCCTATATTCCAGGATGTAAGGGTGAAGATATGATGAAAAGCCCTCGTCCGAACGTGAAATATGCCTGGTTTTATAGGTTCGTTTCCTAAGTGCACCACTTAGTCTACGCAAAACTAACCTGGTGTACGTCGAAACTCTTTAAATGAGTTGAAAAACTAGCAAGAAAAATGAATTATTCAAAACATACTTCTAAGAGAACCATTAACTATGTTGACTATCACTTTGGAAATTGTTATGTAAAAGCGAATACTTGTGGGAAGCGATCCTCTTTTACACAGGAAGAGTAAAGAAAATAACGCAGGGGTCAATATACCTTGCAAGACATGGAAAACTTTATGTTACACAGATATATGTCCTAGAAAAGCAACACCAATGGTGTTCACTTTGAGATGAATGAAAACTTACGACTCCATGGGATACTGTCCTAAATACATGGAGACTTCGGCAAAATTAGAAGATAAACGCTCTATTTCATCATTAGTTAAATCAATATCAATGAAATCTAAGCGAGAAAAGGAAGAGATTAATTGTATAAATAACTTTCAAAACTAAATTACCCTCTTCCTCTCTTCTCCATCTTTTAACAACAAAACCGGGTTGACTGAAATTCGCTATAAATCCAACACGTTGACCAGACATACAATCTGAATTTACGGCGCTGTTTAAAAAAAAGACAAACAAGTTTTATGCGAAGAATATGAAACTTCACATGAATTAAGAACAATTTATTGCCTAACAAAAACAACCGACCTATGCAGAGGTAAAGTAATAATTTACTTCCACTTAGCCAGAGTCAGTACCGTGTGTAGATAATATACATTTTAAACCACAACCATTAACGTGAAAATATCCGTATACAGTCAATTCAGATGTACTGCATACATTAAAGGAAAGCTAGTTCGTGATTTTCGTTGTCTCTGATAAATGGTTACCCTAAATATAAATTGTTTATGAATGTCTTCGTCTTGTTGTATCTTCCTCATTAAATAATTTGCTTTCAATTTTTCCAAGTGTACGATTTTTAGAATTAATTTGAACTGTTTTTCGAAATAAAATGGTAGAACTTCCTGGACGAAACAAAAATGATACAGAACTAAATACGAATGAAGTGACCGTTTGGACCTACCTGTAGTAGACAGAGTGGACTCCTAAAGGTATGTCCTTGATACCTTTGAAATGTTTCCCAACCTTCCAAAATTTCATATCAATACCAAACTCCGTATTTTCAGGTACGTCATGCAAAATCAGATGGCAACTCATCACTTGCTTCGTCTAGATTCCCAAAGAATGAAGTTGACTAGATGTACTATGATAAAGATACTTCTCAACTTAACACGACTCTATGAAGCTTGGGTATATGTTGATTGTCAGAAGGTTCAACAGTTATGTATCGCTGTTCTTGTTTTTACACTGGCAACTTCACCTACAGTCTAAGATTAAGAGGTAAATTTAAAGGAAAGAGAAATAAATATATGCTAAAGACGGGAGTAGATATAAAATAAAAGACTTTTTGATAAAGTTATTGCATAGACTCTATGTAAACAACGACCATATAAATTCAAATACACGTGTTCTCTGGCATTCACTAAGAATTCTAGACATTTGTTAATACCTCAGTAACAAGAAAAATGACAGACCATACGCACAGAGAGTTTAATAAATGACAATCTTAAGTGTATGGATCAGCATATCTCCAAAAGTGTCAACAACACTATTAAACGTGATAATTAAATTGCACTACAAGGCTGAAACCAAAAGTTATTATTGCAATGCACTAGAGCATCGATTTGCCCGACTACCCATTTTTTTTATTTAAATCAGCCCCGCTTTCGGTAGCAGAACAGTTTGATGTGAACCCCAACCACCTATAGCAAGTGGTGAGACCAGAGAAATGACGCAAGACAAAGCTAGCAGAGAAAAACAAAAACTTTTTTGTGAATAAAAACAGTCAAAGTATCAATAACCCAAATATGTGGTTCCTCTATGGCCTTAAATTCACCTAATCAATTGTTCGGAAGAGTCAAGACAGCAACAATGAGCAAACGCTCTTCAAATGGTCGATATTCACGCCAATAAATTGAAGTTATTCCAAGACCTAACCACAAAAATTTTAAGCGTGACGGAGACTAACTTTTATAAGTTTACAAAAGTTTTCCAGAATCCTAGAGTGGAGAATTTGTCGAATTTCAATCTGTAATAAAGGAGACAAATCTTTTATTACATAACCTCAGGGGAGTCCGCCTGATTGATATGTTTTCTTACAGCAGTTAGAAAGTAAAAACAATTAAAGGAATATACAGTTGCGAATGCTCAGACAAAGATGCAATGATCGAATAAATGTTCAGTCTCCAACGCACTTTACGATACAAACCTGTCATATTTTGGACAGACCAGATGTTTCGCTGCGAACATTGTCGAGAAAGCGTGTTACGCTGATCAAAGCGCTTAACTCGAACCCAAGAAGTCATGCAAAAGGAATGACAGCAGTCACCGATGCTTAGTATTACCGTCCTTAACTTCACTGTAGACATACTGTTGGAGGTTAGTCTACCCGACTCCGTCCGATGCAGAGGATGGAGAAATGGAGTATTTTACACACTGTGAGTTAATATACGAATCCGTTAGGAGCACTTTTCTGAATGAAACATTACGTGTTACTGAATGATTGGTGCAGACGGATTTCTGTTTTCAATATAAAGATCGGCTTCTTATCGTCTTTCTCTTAATGTTTTGAATTCTCCTACACAATGGGGTAGACGACTACAAATTCCTCATAATGAACGCAGAAACCGTCAGCCTTACAAGTGTAACAAAGGCAATACTACATCTCTGTAAAGATATCCATCAATAAGTTTAATACGGAAAAGTAGGCACGTGAAGGCTTGCGAAAAACAGCTGCTAAGCTGAACTCAATAGAGCCTCATCACTCTAACTAATTTAGAACTATTACCCAGTCTGTGTGTCAGTTTATTGAAAATTAAAACAAAGTAGGAAACGTGCTCAGGGAACCTTAAGCGTCACAGTTCTTATTACGTTAAAAATGAGTGTAGCCCGAATAGTCACATAGACCGCCATCGAGCATAGATCGAAACCTAAATTTTCGGCCGAAATTTTCTGTCACGTCCAAGGTCATTGGTGGGGTGAGATACCCAAGGGTCATTTTCGTCCATGTTGCAAGTACATCTATAACCAATAATAGTACAAATTAATCAAGAATCTGGAACTAAAGTGAAAATCCCTGATTACTTTACACTCATAGATTACTGAGACAAGCTAGGCCTTCTGAAGTTGGCTACTCTTGATGAAGGTGGCTTACTACATGGTTTGCCAGTAAATCGGCATCTTCAGAAGGTATTTCACATTACACAGCCCATATCCTGTCGGTGGATAGTAGCGTTTTCTTTGTTTTTCGTATATGTTTTCATCGTGATTTTCATGTCATTCTAGCTGTAGCGAAAGATTGTCCTTCAGACATTTGGTAATGACCCTAATTATTTTAATGAATTCATTCAACGAGAGTGATTGGTAGCGTGAACTTTCATGCAGCGTGAGTTTGTTTTACGTAATCTGTCTGAAAAGGTCAGATCTTCAGATGATTGATGAAAGGATATCAGCCCTGAGGGAAAACATATTCTATTTATCAGCGTTGAAGTTCCGGATGCTTCGTGTCGTAGATTGATGTAAATGCCAGTGCTTATCCTTCCGCAGATGTGGGGCCTTTTAAAGTGAACGCGAAAACTCCAAATCGCTAGTGAACCGAAATCCATTGTAGTTTGTGAATTCCAGCCCGTGTTAACTGTAGAAGTAGGCTCCTCAAGCCGTCTATTCCAAACCAAAACCAGTTTTCCGATGGTTGACTTTCAGGGGAATTCTCTCAAAACTCTGAGTTAGGAGTCGGATTCTAGTTTGGACATGAAAGACCATATAAAGTCACCTGGTGAATTTTACTGACAAAATATTAGGAGTTACTTAGTTAACCATCTCACGTGTATGAAAAACCAAAATGCTCACAACTTAAGCGGATGAAGTCGTGACGACTGTCAAACAACTTCTTAGCATGCAGACATTCATAAGCGTTCTTACGTTCTCGACACACCCCTTAAGAGAATAGACCTTATAACCGTGAAAAACAGGACTGTGTTGCTAAGACTAATGAGTGGTGCTAGATAACTGGAACAGTTACCTAAGTTGTTTGGTGACCCCAGTGATTGTTGTGTTGCCACTCAGCCTACTAGAATGCAGCGAAATTATCCCACATACTTGAGGTTATTGGATGGATAAGGTACTTGGAGGTCATTTTAGTCCATGCTTTTGGGCCATGTTGGCTTGCTGTTTGCTGATCGTTTTTCACGCACTAGTTTTAATGTTTATCCTGCAGTTATTTGCAAATTATCTTTATGTAGGTAATTCATTACAGTTGCGCATTAGGTCATTTCGGTTTTTCCTTTCTGATAGAATCCGTGATTCGTTTGTGTCGGAATTCTTTGCCATTAGGTCAGTTCACTCATTTCATTGTAATTTTTTCATATCCTGCCTTCATGCTTCGTCGCTGTACCCTAGTAAATTTTCAGCTGTCAATGAAATATTACTATGTATAAGTTTTGGAAATTGTGCATATGAGCATTCTTCAGTGGTAAAAGCTGTTGTCCCCAGTTAATTTGCCGGCTGTTGTTTTTGTTGCTGGTTCAAATGGTAACTTAATATAGTGGATCTGGAAAAAACAGTGTCTTCCTTGTCGGTATTTATATTATGCAACCATCTACTGGCGATTTTGGTGAAGAAAGTACAGTCAATTGATATTAGCCAGGTTTCTGAAGTACATATTAGATCCGGAGAACTTAGAACGTGGACTGAAATGGACTGGAGCTTAACGTGCTGCATCTAAATAGAAGAATTTGATTTGCCTTTAGTAAAGCCCACTGTTAGCAGTTGTTGGACACGTTGCAGGAGGGCTTAAAATACGAGTGACATAAATCGATGTGTGGAGCATGCGAACTACTCTAGATGAAGGTAAGACTAGTTATTAAGATTTAGGTTCACGATCAGTGACTTTTTGAAGTCACAACAATTTGAGAATTTGATTATGATTCTGGACGAAAACAATGGCAGGATATCAACTGCTTGTTTGTATTCGAATGAGCGAATTCTTGTTTTTCGTATATCTGCAATTTCTTGGTGGCTACAGTTACGGAATGTACATAATTTTTAAGAAAACTTTAAGTATATTTCCCTTCAGCCAATGGTCCTTTTCTAATCTCAAGTGGCAAAATATTTGTTGGCACGATCAGACGAATATATAGCAAAGTAGGGCGTTCTGTGGTTGCGAACGGTATACATCTTTTTCAGATAATACTATGCGTCCAACCGTATAACCTCTTTTCTTCATAGTGCGCTGCGACCATCTCAAGGTCAAGTGAAATGTTTCCGACCGACTGGTTTTTAATTTGTGAGTCGAGGTTGGGTAGATAACTCCAGAAGCTTTCTTAGAGATATGGGAAAGTTTACGTTAGTGTTATTAAGTCACTGACCAAGACGGTAGTTGAAGGGGCTACCTTCATCAGGAGGGTGGTAACCACTATTCAGCGGATATGGTGATGAGGACCTAAGAGAACACCCTGTATCTGTGGGAAAGCGCCCTATTACTAAGGCTCCTGAGTTTGAATAACTTCAACATAAAGAAAGATGAAAACCACCTGTGTGCCACAGCTTGTGTATAAACTCTCTGAAAACAAGCTCATGACATGATTTCTCAGCTTCAAAAGGACATCTAACAGTACAAATCAGAACAACAGCATAAATATTACAAAATATTTGCTTTTCTTCCACATATTTTATGTACCTCGCGTTTGGACTTAACTTCTTCAGTATCTATTCCCAACATTGACCTATGTAGGTGGGGATAATCATCATTCCTTTCTCTCCTATTTTTTACTGCAATAAACTTGAAATAAACGTTAGTACACAACACTATAAAATTCAGTGACTACAAATTTTAGTAATAAAAAGAGGGAATGAACCCTGCGCTTATCGCATATTGTTTGTTTAAACTGTTAATATTTGCTGCGATGGAGCACTGCAAATGTACAGTGGTGCTGCTTCCTACGTTTGCATTACTTGAATGGTGTTTTGAATTAACCAGAACCTACAAGCGGTAGATATTCAGATTTTGAGAGGAAGGTACCTAAAAATTACCATAATTAAAGACAAACCAACCCTTGCAGACTTACTCATTTAACAGTGGTTGTGCCTAAATGCATGACCATCAAAAAGCCGGCGCTAATTTTGCAAAGCCATTGTCCCATCACATATCAATCTTTTAGTCCTCCCTATCAACCTATTTTATACACAAAAGTCAAAAACTAAATCTAGGTGAAACCTGAAAAGATTATTATTAAAATCGTTCATTTGCAATGCTGAGTAATCTGACTGAGGCTCATTTGACCTTGGCGTCTGTTGTTTACTTTTGCTAATACGACGAACAACGGAACAAATTCCATCGTCATATCTGTTTATCATTTCGAAGTTAGTCCCATGAATCCGCTAATACCAAAATAATGCTGTGCTAACCGTCTACTACGCAGTTTTATAAACTGTCAAAACCTTTATAGCTCATTATAATTTCCCAATGAATAAAGAACAAAACGATATTGCAATCGAAAATGTCTGAATAGGAATGATAGACTAAAACGGAATGTGACCTGGTTACAACACCTCCCTACCCCATGAAGTGACAAAGTCTACACGAATGTGGTAAGCAATTTCATCGTGCAAACACACGTTGCTTTTATAATTTTACACACTGATCAAATCCGACAATCCGCACCTGGTTTTGTTATCTGTACCAATTGGCCGATTTGACAAAGGAAAAATGACACCATGCTGAAGAAGGATGATTAAGTTGTTATATATAAGCTTAGATTTTGTAAATTCTGGTTTAATAGTACTATGACAAAGCTGTTAGAATTAAATAGCGAAACACCAGCGTTGTCGCAAATAAACAGGTCGTATATCTATGTCCGCCGCTTGCAAGGAGGGCCAGTCAATGATAGCTGCAGTGCCGAGTACCACATTCACTGTGGTTTCACAATTTTACAGGCGTGAGAGAACATTGGCGTTAGCATGTCGTTTTCCTGGACGGTATTCAAGAGTAAAATCAAACACCTGTAAGCGTTCCTGCCAGCGGGCAAGTTGACCCTCCGCATAACGAAAATTCTGCAACCACTGTAACTCTTTGTGATCGATCGAAATTTTAGACCCAATAAATAATGGCAAAAGCAAGTGAGGAAGTACACAAGAGCCAACATCTCACGGCGAGTCGTAGAATGCCGGGTCTTTCTCTTTCCCAGTGTCCGGCTAGCGTATTCTGTTACTCGCACCTTCAGTCGGAATCATCTATAAAGACAGCTCCCATCTCCTGTGTATAGTCAGGAGATGTATTTGGAAATGCTAAAACGGGGGGTGAAATTTAACATGTTTTAAATGTATTAAATGCTTCCTGGCACTCGTTAGTCCAGGCGAATTTCCGTCCCCTTTCCGTTAATCGATGAAGGAGAGCTGCTATACTGGCAAATTTTTGAACTAAACGACGGTAGTAAGAAGCAAGCCCCATGGAACTACATACGTCTGCTGTCAATTTAGGGATAGGCCAGTTGAGGATCGCTTGCACTTTGCTTCCATCTCTGCCAACTACTTGCGGAGTGATCTCATGGTCAAGGAAGGCGACAGATTTCTGAAGGAAATGGCATTTCGAGGCTTTCAGCTTAAGATTACTCCCGCGTAAACGTTGGAGTACGGCTCGGAGGCTGGCATGGTGTTCTTTGAGGGACTGTCCGAACACGATGATATCGTCCAGGTAAATGAGGCATTGTTTAGGGACCGACCGTGCAAGTACTGCCTGCATGAGCCGCTGAAACGTGGCAGGGTATAAGACATGCCAAATGGCATGGTTTCGAATTCATACAAACCCGTAAGCACAACGAAGGCAGTTTTTGGTCGACATTCAGGACGCATCTCGACTTGCCAGTAGCCAGAAGCCAGGTCTGTCGTGGAGAAACACTGGGCTCCACCCACGGCACTTAGTGTAG